CTTGTTAGTAAGTTATAATCATTACTTTTTGTTCAATAAACATGGTTAGCTTGGTCCTTTAAGGAAGTCTGGTTTGTTTGTTATTTTGATTATACACATACCGCTCAACAGAATAATCAAATTCATACTTGTATTTAACCAATAAATCTTCCTGTTCTTTGACTTCTTTGAACGAGGAATAGATGCAAATAATTGCAATTAATGATAGAGCTTCACTCGAGAGATCCCCGCAGCGAGAGAAATGACACGGCGATTATGGATGCCGCGGTGATCATTCACCATCAGATGGACCGTACGTCTAGCTAGACTATTCACCGAGGAAAATTAATTGCCTAGATAATGCATTAAATACCACGTACCGGAACGATCTCATGTTTCATTCCATTTACGTCTAGTGTTAACACTTGACACCTATTATTTCTTCTTGGCAAACCAATAGAATGGCTTTATCTTAAATAGGATTTGATATATTGTCTATTTATCAAGCGAAATTTCTATAATGCTGACGTCAATTCAATAAAACGAAGCTTACTCTAGAGACAGGTCATTGTATTTTATTGGTACTATTAACAGTTATTGGTGTCATAATTTCTATTCATATGACATGTTATTACAGAGTATCGACCTTAATTTCGATTTAGATAAATGTAATGTTAGTAATATTATTGCTGTTATTGCAAAATTGAGCTTCTTATCCTCCGTATTACCATTAAATAGAGACCATTTGTCCTGATAAACAACTGTCAAGGATGTTTACTTTTTTTTCTAACGAACGATTGGACTTGATTTAGCCAATAATAACCGTTTGTTTGTCTTGTGCTCGTCATGCTACACCGAGTAAAGTTGACAGTTGATTGAAATTTAACACGTATGCACTCGATACTTGGCTATTTGAGCCGTTTTAATTGAATCGTTGCGCAAAATCTTAGCCAGAATTGGCCAGAAACATTGCACAAAGCTCTTGTATACACAAAAGCGAATCTAAATAAATATACATTCTGCAAGTCACATTTCAAATGTTCTTGTGTAATTGTACGGCTACAAAGAGTACTAAAGTAAATATTTGTCATCATCACATTCATGGGTGTTTTAACATTTGTCGGCCGCTGTCCGTGTCTAATGAAAGGTCCAATCCATTTGGTCGTCCGTCAATGGACTGCGTGATGTGCGAGAAGGTCGTCCACAGGCGGTACAGTCACCGCTCAATGTCCGCCATATTTGGATTTGTGTTTATTGGCCACTTATTTCCTAGAAAATGCGACTAGATCGGTTCCCATGATTTTCACTTGAGTCTTGTCATGCTTCCCACATCCTCTTCTCGCTGACGTTTGACGGAAGCAACCTTGGCCCACTAATAACGAATAATTATTATGACTCGGATCTCATTATAAACATTAACATTTATCGTAGCACTTAAATTGTGTTCTTGTCTTACTTATAGTTCCTTGTTTTCTTCACGATCTGCTTATCTTTGGATAATTATACCAAGGACTGTTATTTCATAGTAGGTATTTTTTATCTTTTGCTTCGTAAATGACAGTTTCCTTTTGTTCGTGTTACCACCAACATTGGCATCCTTAGTTCTTTATCATTAAGTAACGCTGTCTGCTAGTTATTATTTCCTTCGTTTTCCTGGTTTCGTGAATACATGTTACGCAGTTACGCAAGTACAAAACTGCATGTCAATTCGAATGTAGTGTATCGCGTTACTTCCAACCGTAAAACAAACCGCAACAAAAATATATTTGCATCTATTTTAGTACATTTTATATCTAAAATACCGTGTTTTCTAAGGCCGAAGAGTGTGTTTCGCGCAAAATTAATTTTGTTAGATGTAAAAACACGTTTGTCGCATGTAACATGAGAATGCTGGCGAGCGGCGACAACTACGCCAGTTTGCGGTCCAGGAATGTGATACGCGACCGCTTTGCTCGCGTCTTTCTATCGATTTCATTACAATCTTCAGAAATAGCTATATTTCCTTTTCAAATCTCTGATTTCATATTAATACCGTGCTCTTTACACACATAAACCTCGATTACGCAAGAATGTTTAGCAGCGTTTCCAAACATAGTATTGTTTAATTACTTCATACGGAAAGTGTCGATAAATGTTTTTACTGACCTCACTTAATGTTTTGTAATCTCTGACAATGCAGACTTACTTCTTCAGTAGAATTATTCACGCAATTTAATGTTGCAATTCGTGCAAGAAAATCGTATTGTTCAAGTAAAAAAGTTAATCTTTGAATAATTGCTCTTAGTCGAAAGACCTTGCTCAAGTAAGTAGGTTCCTTTAATTGAATTCACGGAGATCTTTGATTATATTTTTAGTTCGTTTCTACTGTGTTTGACTATTTTCATCTTTTCCTTATTTAAATGATTTATTCGTATTTAACACTGTACAATATCAATATTTGAATAGTTGTAGCAGGGCTGAGGGCATAGTTTTACAGATGTGGCTGTCACTCGGTAGGCGCCGGTGACCGCATTCTTTACGTCGTCGCATCGTATTGAAAGTGGAGCAAGCATCCGTTCAACGTTCATAAGATTTGCAACGCTATACTTCTTGCTATCTTCACGGATCCTAGTACATTTATTTGAAAAGGGCTTGATTTATGCAAAAGGAAGTTTAGTATTGTATACTGTTTTCGATTTAAATGATAATCTTCTTCGTTGTCATTCATCTGATTAACGTCCATATTAGAATTAAATTACATTTAAGTATATTGAATGGAAAGCGTAATGTATATTTATGTGTTTGGATATATTTGAAGTCTAGTTACATAATGTACAATGAAACATCTTTCATTGTATGATAATGTCATTAGTTTTTGTTTTTAAACGTCTTGGATATTGTTATTTCAGAATAATAATTAAAAGTGATAAACAATAGAATGGAATACAAAGTCTAAATTTGATAAAAGAAAGATTTAGAGAATGTCTTTCCACATTAAAATATAATTTAATATTGTTCAGGTATTCACAAGATTCGAAAGCGTTTAGTCTTTCTTAGAAATATCAACTCCTATCTGACAGTCGTGTTTAGTAACATTAGTTTTGGTGTTTCTAACATTTTAGTAAGCCATGGCTACTATTTGTATAGTTCATTCTTTTCTAGGTACCGCCCTTCTTATCTTGTACCAGTTGACACATTGAAAAGTAAATATTTGGGACAGTTAGTGGAATATGCCATGTTTATTCTAGAAACGATACGAGTAGTTGGTTGAATGGATGATCCCGTCGGGGATATCCGTCGATATCCGTCGGGGTCATTGAACCAGCTCGACTTTGAATTGTATCAATGCATACGTTATTTGCTTGCGATAACAAAATACAATTGAAAGACAATAAACAAAAGATACTTGAAGAAAAACAAGTGTTTTGCTTTGAGACAATCTGTTCGTATCAAATTCTGCTTGTCAGCTATTTCGTCACAATGTGCAGTTGTAGGGTTGTCTGCTCTTTGGACTTTATTACTCGTCTGGCATTGTGAGCAATGTACGAATTGTTGTGGTACCCGAAGTGCCCTTATTTTGAAAACGCAACTTGTTTCGCACATTGTTTTAGAGACAGTGGCTTCTTTTAGAAAACTAGTTTCTATTTGTGGAATTTATTTACATAGCTACTTATGTAAACGGATGTCCAGAATAGAGTTAAAACGTTTTCTGAATGCAGATCATCTTGTAGACAAAACACCTTAATATACCATAACGCGCGTCAATTGCAGTTAAAATTAATTATTATTATTCGCAATGTCATAAAACACAATCTTGCTTTACGTACACAGACAGTATTCTATAAACAAGCACCATATTATTATGAATGACGTCAATCGAACCTTACTACCCGCACGATCGACGCATGGCCTAAAATATCTGTCTATCACATTACTATTAATTACCAAGTTTATAGCACTACTATTGCGGTAAACAAATCTGTGTCAAATTACCGAGCGACCTTTTGATCTGTCATGTTCGCCTGGTACTTAATACTATTTTAATTACTCTCTATAAAATAATTGTGAAGAAAAATGTTAAGACTTTATTTAAAAACTGTGGGTTTTACTATGACATAAGAAATTATAAATATTTATGCAAAGTGTATTTATTGTAATATTGATGTTAAATTTATCTTGGGAATACCTAAATTGGTTCGGTATTTCCTACTACAATAATTTGATTTATCAACATGACGAATGCTATACATATAATTAACCTTTAATCACAAACTAAACTCCATGTACTATAATACTTAATTGACAAACGAACCTTCGTTTGAAATTTAAAATCCAGAGCATTTCTAGATTCACGTCATGCGTGTTTTTTAAAAGTTCCTTTGTTCTGAACGAACTGCACTCGCATTTTGTACGCGAGTGTGGTTAAAAACAGCTGGTGCTCTTGCAAAAAAGATTAATAAAAAAGAAATTAAAAAATACACTATCGAATTTTGTGCTAGTAAAATTCCGCAGCTCAACGCTATCATTGACCTTTTTAATTTTATTATCGTGGCATTATGTAAACCGTGTTCTTGTTTAAAATTTTGCACGTTTTGTTACTACGTAGTTTTATCTGTTGGCTGGTAATAATTTGCTTTTAATATAATATAATGATCGTTACGCGCCGAGTAATCGCTTATTGCTGCAGTTACCAAATGTATCATGTTAGGATTGCAAAATATAAAATGTTTTTCCAAATTATCTCACATAGTTTCATATTTTGGTAGCCAAACTGCTTTAGTATGTCGGTGTAACTCTTGTTGTGTTTTATAAAACTGCCTCGATAGTACAATTTCTGAAATGATATCTCTGTAGCTTTTTAAAGATAACTAGTGCTGACGCCCCTACACATACATAACACACTGGTGGCCTTTAAACAGCTGTATCGTCACTGATAAGAGACTGAAAAGGCCTCGTTTTCAATTTCGATAACAACCGCAATAGTAGTGTCAAAAACGATGACAACACATAAAATTAATAACACTAACACAATTTTTTAACAGATAAGAGTGTGTTTGAACGGTGCAAATGTGAATTTATATTTATACAAGTGTAGTGAAGTATTAACTTATTTATTATTTAACATATCCAGATATATGAGGACCCAAACATGGAACGTTACAAACCCGATGCGTTACGATGGCGTGCTTCCTACAACAGTGATTTAAATTTAAACTAGTGCATAGTGGTCCTAAAGTCTGATCTGTTAGACTGCATTAAATTATTTATTAGTTAGTGTTTATATCGTGTGGATTATGCTGATCAATACGTTTTTGGACACGGAGGATTTCGTGCATTTGTATTACCCCGAGGATGAGCCAGCGGCCGTGCAAGGCTGTGGGGCCGGCGCGCGCATGGCGTCCAAATACCCGCCGAGACCACCCTCGCCAGAATACTCACAGGTCTGTATACTAATAACTATATCTGTTTACTTTATTCTCTTCATGAATATGATGCCCTAGTCCTGGTACTTGGTTGTGAAATAATAGAGTAATTTAATATTTGTAGGTAAACTATTTAATGCTTTTAATGGTTTAAAGAAATATACAGTTAGTAACAGTAGTTATGTAGGCATTTTATAACGACTACTTATAACATTCAACGGATTTATTTATTTTTTATTTTTATTATGGAAGTATTAAACAAGACATGCAACTGTATAAAAATAACTTTAAATTGAATTCTCATTAGAATATCGTCTTGCAAATAATTTGATACTCCCTTGTCAAAGAATAGACTTGTAAAGAGTGTAACTTGACGAGTAGGGTAAAAGTAACGGTATACGGCGAGTCCTTCACCTTGAGACCAATAATTGTGTGTACGGCGACCTCCTACCCCGTTCTGCCATCCGCATCCGTTCATTCAGCGGGGGAAAGACTGGGAGTACTAGCAAACCTATGATTACTTGTAGGACTTCACTCAAGTAATTGGAAGTTTCTCGTTTAATTAACTTCCGAACTTCCGTGTTACGAAATAAAGCCTCGTTGAAGGCTATTTATAACTTTCCTGTATTAATTTGTAAAAGTGTCGACTTACGGAAATATCAAAAGTGAAATGTTTATTTATTATTCTTTGTTTGGCCTCTTATTATGTATTTTCATTTGATCATTATGTACACTTATTAATGAATTACAAAGTGATGACAAATTGACGTGTTTCTCATTGAACACAATGATCTATTTACTAACACAATTTCTTTGAGTCATCCACTAAAAATGTACCGAATTATGTTTACATTGTATACAAATAATACACTTGCTGGCTTCCTTTGTTTGTTTGGAACAATAATTTTTATTGACAGTCCGTGTTAAACTTCCCTTTTATAAGACGCGTTCAAAATCGTAATTTATCAATTGAAACTAATGGTAGGGTTATGTGCGCTTAATGCTCGGGACAATGTCAGATGCGATGCGCCGTAATGAGCCACGCTTGTGACTCATTATGAAAACATGTTTCCTCGCTTCTTTCTGTCTGTCATTGTTTAACATGTGTTGCGTTTTATATCCTAAATTGGACTCTTTCAATTTATTTTACACAAAACTGCTGTAGCACACTGACTGTAAAGAAAGTTGTTCAAATATTCTTCATTCAGGTCTTGTAGTCTTCATTGTTTAATTATGCAATGAAATGACACGTCAAGCTGGTAACTAAATCTAAATCCACTCATCTTTCAACGTTATTGAACGTGATGCCAAACATTCTCATTACGTCACAGTCGCCATATGCATTCAACCAGAATCACATGAGCGTAGACTGATCTAAACCGCCCATAGTTGCAGACACCGGAAATATGCTCAGCCATTGTCGTTCATGATTAAGAATGACACACTAAAGTCTTCGAATTGCTTCCACTTGCTGTCCTTAGCCTCATTATGGCCACCCACAATATTTCTTCCATCTCTTTCTCGACTTTCAATAGTGTGTGTATTTTGCACCAGGAATTCATAACATACTTATTCACAAAATACCAGAACTAAACCTTGAATGGGCCTTTCAATGCAACACGCGGCCTCGGGCTGGGTTGAATGACATGAATGATTGAGTGAATGGATAATGAACGCTCCTTTCATTCATTCAATATCTGTATCACTATCAAAACCTATTACTACGTGTTTACAAACTTATGACTATGTTTTGAACAAAGATTTAGTTGATGTTTTGAATGCATCGATAAAAATCGTGATATCCTTTATGACTTACATCGAGGTCTTTATTTCCCAGCGCTTGATACTATTCAGTTTACAGACGATAATGAATGATATAATTGTTCCTGAGCAAGAGTTAGGTATCATATTTGTACAGATAAAGCCAGAAATTGTGTGATAGTTGAATGGTTCTGCAACACGCGGACGCAAGCTGATGATGTCCACATGTTAACCTCAAACGACCTTATTCTCTTCTACGCACACTACAGTTGCATTAGTCACGCTTTACGTTATGCAACCGAAGGCTTGCCCCTGCTGCAGATGTTCTATTGCTTAATGCTACGCTTTGATAGTGATTGGATATTCATTTACTATTGCTGAACGCGTATTCAAAATAAGAGTATGTCTCTATCCATGTATGTAAGCCTGGTATATTGTTTCGCGTGTCTCAGTAATATCAAGTGACCAACTATTGTTATTTTGATATTCTGTTCGAGAAAAAATTTTTATTGAATGCTTTGTTCAAAATTTTGTCCAACAAAATACTTAATTTGCATAGACCGTATTTACTTTATGTTCCAAGTAATTTTGCGCGTCAACCTCATTGTTTCAAGTTTCAACTGTATTTTGCGATTTTTTTCTTCTATTGTGTAATTGTCTGCTTAAAATGTGACCATCGAAATTTGCTCGTTTCACACGTCTATACCGTTAGAACTTAAATTGCTTGCTTCCACACATAGAAGCCTCGCCATTTCATAACCATTACACCTACTAATTGTTATGATGTTCTGGTAGTTTAAGCTTAACTGAACGTACATAAAAACATATTCTATTATTGAAAAACATGTCCAAATTAGCGTTTAGTCGATTTTGTCAGTTTTAAAGTTTAACCGGTGGTATTAATAACATTAAAGATACTCAAAAAATGTTAGGTATGCCATTATTCCTGAAGATAATAATATACACGCTAAAGCTTTATGGTGAGAAGGAAAACCGAGGAAGGCATCGACCTCGATACTGCGTCGTTAGATTTGAAATACAAAATAAATTACTTCAAGGACTTTATAAAAAAAGAGTATACATAAGATCCTGTTTTATTTCTCGACTGCTTATATACCTGTTAGAATCGTTCTAAAATATATTTTGGAGCTACTCAGTCTGAGTTTTTATAATGTTTACCATCCATCGACATACGAGGTGAACGACCCACGCTTTAAAATCAACCATTACCCCAACCATGTGCATGGTATCCTCCTTCAATGGAAGGTTATTACAACCAATGGGGCTTTCCTACTTGGTTGGTTAGTCACTGACTACTAGTTAGCAGTAGGCGCCCACCCGCACGAGTTTTGATGACTGTTTTTAATGATTGCGTCTATGCTGTAGCGCACGAGTTTGTTTGTTTTTGAACAGTGCGCTTTGTTTATTTTCATCACGGTTTATAAAAGTGTCTGTACTCTTATTCTAAAAGTTTAATTCAGCGCCGTAAAAGGCATCAATAAAAATCTAATGTTACGTCTGTGTAACAAAAAACTCAGCTCTGGTTTCGTTCTATTTTTTTGTCACACGGTCAATAACTTAGTAGATTGTCTCATCTCGCAGGAATGTACGTTGTTTTCTTGCTTATATAACATCGGGTCTGCATTGTCGTATTTAGCCACGTAAAGTAAATGTCAACAAAAAGCTTTTTTAGTTTTTTTCTGTCTGTCTCTGTTGCGCAAAAGTTTGTGTTCATTGAACTGCAGAGGGTGAATGCGCTGAGCGAAAAGACTGTAGGCGTTACTCCCACGAGCAACTAATATTTTGGTGCTAAGATACCTTATTAGGCAACGTTCCATTAGTCATTACGTTTTTAAAATGACTAAAAAACTTAATCTCTACATACATAGTAAGTGTAGGTACCACAACCTCACCTGCAGTAGCTAAATGATGATCGTGATCATTCGTGATGACTCACATCTGTAGCCGTATAGCCATATCAGTTGTATGTTGTACGCTGAGCTCATGTGAACTGCCGCGGGGCATTACATCATTACTATGGAATGCTGCACCAATTACATCTGATGGAAAGTAGAGCTTATGTCTATAGAAATAAAAGCTTCGTATCTGTGAGAAATTGACATTTTATTACACTTTTCTAGCTTTAAATGTCAATAAGATTGATTTTACAAACATTAATGGCCGGCTTCCGAAAGCCCGACCAATGTTAAAATTAACTAACTAGGTGTCAAATCTTTTGTCAAGTCATCTGATTGGTTGTTGATTATTCATTAAACCAATCAGATGACTTGACAAGACATTAAATTGATTTTAACATTGATCGGCCTTTCGGAAACCGGGTGTAAATCTCACAAAATCACACCCAGACCAAGAACAACAATTTGCGGAGAGCACAAAGAGTTGTTGAAACCGCGACACCTTGTAAGGCAGACTGTTGCCTAGCCACTGCGCCAACAGTGCAGTCGTATGCATTCTGTAGGCGGTAACAATTATAATTGTGATATAAAAATAGTTGTTTTAGCCTAAATCAGGTCAATTGTTGATCGGATTGACCACAACCACTAATTACTTTTCATTAGTATTTCCTTTTATACTGTATTCTTTATCAATTTGGTTTATTTGGTTATGTAATGAAATGGTTTCATTTAATAAATTATTTAATATTTATTATTAACGAAATATATTATTACTAGTTTCTACCAGCGGCTTTTCCTGAGTTACCTGGACGATAATAATATGTAGCCAATATGTTATGCCAGACTATCTCTGTGCCAATTTTGAATGAACGGTTGGTTGATTTCCGCACGGAGCAACTCTTTGTGTGATCCACAAATTATTGTTCGGGGCCTGGGTGACACGTCTGTGTAATTGTATGCTTGTAACCTCACCCACGACACAGAAGAAATCCCTAGTGTGGATCAACATTAAAAAATATCAAAATCCGATTATCAGTGTTTACGTGAAAATGTAACAAATAAATATCCATCCATTTATACTTGCGAACTTTTGCCTCCATTATTTTAATAGCAGACGTTATTTACTTGTTTTCCTCATGCTGGACGACTCATCATCAATGCAAGTTGACAAAAATCAAATGCACAATTTTTGTAAAATATGGTGTTATTAGATACGTCAAAATATTGATGCTTTCAAAATTTAATACTATACTTATTGAACATTATACGATTGTGTACAAGAATATTAAGTTACTTGTATTTTTAGGTGTAGGACAGATTTCTACATTTATGTATGTGAGTTGTCACAACTTTTACAAGTCATAAATTCATACAGAAACATCATTCTTGCAAAACTCCTTTTGTAACTTGCTTGCTTGTTATGCTTTCCTAGTACCATTGCCAAAGTAAACGCATTAATATGTTAGAGAAACTAAATAACAAATATTTATTTGTACTTATTTACTCGAAAATGTTTATGAGAATGCATATAAAATTTATATATGTAAATGTAGTAACTGTTGTCAGTGTTTTTGTACTGAGCTAATAGGGAGGAATGACTTGCACGCCAATTATATGTATGTACTAGGAGATAATAAACTATAAGAGATGGAGTTGATAGCCCTATCATGTACCTACATTGTAATGAAGATAATTTCAAGGGCCGTCATAAAACATTGTAAGGTGTAATAAATAAAGATAGGCCTCATCAACAACTTTGTATTACTTAACCAATAAAACTGAACGGTAAATAGATATTTCATTGTTCAATACAAAAACAATTTTACTGTCTGATAACATTAACCTTTACCCAGAAAAAGAAATATCCAAAATATTGTTGTAACTTAATTAACACTAAAACCTTGTAATGCCGTACATATGAGTTATCCTGTGAAGCGTCGAAGTAGGTATGCGCACAAGTGGCGACTGCGGCAAGTTAGGTAACGCAAGGTCGCTTTCTAACATGTTCTGTAGTACTGCGAGGGACAAGCATACCACATGCGCGTGCGTCGAGTGTAAATCGCCTTATTGTATGTGCAATGACTGGAAAAAGGTGGGTTTTTCTTTATTTTTAGTACTACCAACACGTATTGAACGGCCTTTGGTATTTTAACTTGAAAGGGCCATGGTACTTAACGGTAGACTTGCTTTTCAAAAGGTTTTCCTAATCTAGATGGTAAATAAAATTTAAAATATCCTTTTTTAGGTGTTTTAGCCACTCCAATCTCATTTAAACCTCATTAGATACAGTATGGTATTTATTTACCTACATGATTTCGTGACTGCTACATACCTATTTATTTGATAATATTACATAATGTATGTTATCGCTACGTTTTTTCTTGCTGCTATAACAATATTTACCTACTTGTTGAAACAAGTAAATAAAAATTTTAAAAGAAATACTTCAACAAAGGAAATATTGAAGCATTTTCTTTAAAATTTTCATTATAAAACACTACACGTAATATTAAAAATGCAGCAAAATTCCAAATTATTACATTTGAATGAACAAAGTTGCTTAATTAAAAAATATTGGAAAGAAATTAAAAATAAAATTCTCTGAAGTATCTCATAAGGTTGCGACTTTGCGAGGCGACTACTGAAGAAAATGAATGTAATGAGTACTTTAATGAAAACTTTACTAATTAGTTTCCAAGAAGTTAGTCAATAAATAACTTTTAACTAGACAGGTTCCGTCTGATACTCGTGTTATTAAATTTAACTCATGTACCAACATTCCACCAGGATCTCATAGGCTTTTAAGCGCCACCAGTGAATCATAAGCACGCAAGATCATTATTTATGATTCGAGACGGTTTCTAAACGTTGTGGTTATTACGCCGATCAACGATACCAAGGCAACATAACTTCACGTAGTACCTTTTACATAATACTTTTGTGTAATACTCGTTATTTAAGTATCTTAGCAAAAAGTTCAACTGCATTGCCGCATGTTTTTCTAGCGTATCTAGTCAGCGGATGAGAGTTCAATTTTAAAAATATGTTAGTATGTTATTGCAAAAAAAAAAACCAAGACGATGTTGTTTCTATTTTAATCTGTGATAAAAAGTCATAGTGGAAAAGCAAAGTAGTTTTTAAGTTTATTTTCCACTGTAAGGTACTAAATAACATTGCAAAATCTGCTCAAGGGTAAAGCCATTGTGTTGTGATCTTACTTGAGCAATAAACAGGGTATGATTAGTCTTGACCCTACACAAAAGATCGTAGTATTTTTTCTTGTTTCAAGACAGGTTCTCATTGTCGTAGTTAGGAATGTTATTAATAGATTTACATAATTCTTAGTTATCTCATATCTATTTTTGTTAAGGCATCTAGAAATAAATATTTTTCCATTGTACACAATTCAACACAAAATTAGTACAAGGGTCTATAGATATCGTAATTATTCGTATCAATAAGTACTAGGAATACAGAAAGAGAAAGTGTCATCATGTCTCCCTCGCTCCAGTTTAGGAACATCTTATTGGAAGGAGCTGTTATCAAATTCTAGATACAGTTGGACAATAACCGAATACTAAACTGTACGTGTTCCAATCAATTATATTGTAATTATTCTTCTGTTTACCTTCTTTTTTTTGTGTTGAATTTAAATTCGACCTTGTGGCTTATTGTGTGCACAGTTATTATTGTTATAAACAATTGTATTACTCTATAATTCGGTTATAGTAAAAGATTCTGATGATGTTTGTCGCTGTTTCGGATACTTCGTGTCTCAATATCTCTGGCCTTCTCGAGGTATTATGCGGTTGGCGAGTAAATAAATGTTTTCTTTCTTTCAAAATTTTCTTCTTCACAAATTGTTTCTGCAATCTTCTTTGGAAATAAAAGAAATCTGAGGGCCTCTTGAGTTACGGCCTCCGTCGCGGAAGCAAAAGTCAAAGGAATTTTAATATTGTATTTTCTTTCCGACATTAATCTGATTCAATCGAGCTCTCTTCTCAAGGATGTTTATATTTGACGATAATGTTGTCTGCTGAATTGGTCGGAAATATCCAAAAATAAAACATATAATTGGCACAACAGCACGTGTAACCTAGAAAGTATAAATATCTTATTTGGTCGTGTATTGTACACGTGAGAATGTTTAACCGTATTAATGTTGTCTTCCTTTGTCCACAGGTGGTAGTGCCATCAACAAGCGAGATGGGTGATCGAGAGCGGTACCGTGCGCCTCCTCAGCCAGAGCCGCCACCACACAGGGTGCGAGCTGCCGATTTGTATCCTCGCCTACGGACACATTACGATGAACCTGGCCTAGATGCAGGGTTCACACCCATATGTGGAGAATTTGTACAGGTGAGATACCAGGATTACATGAATAGTAAGCTTGATCGTTTTATTGTTATGTGCTACGCTTTGTTATGCATTTTCTATTATGAATCCAGGGAACCAAATCATATTTACAAATAAGGTTAAATACCACCTAATTGTTTTGCCTTCGAAGCCAACATTTATTCTCACTCGCTTCTATTACAATCAGGCAAGGTAATTTAAAATTATTTACTTATATGTAATTTTCCGTGAAAACGTATTGTTTACGGAAACAACAAATTAAGAAACTCAAATGATAATTGATTGTAGTTAGTTTATTACAATAGTATATTTAGTTACGTTCACAAACAGCAGCATACATTTACGTTACGGTATTGTTTCTCAACATAATTACACGGTTCTCGGTACCTCTTCAATAGACATGACGTCTTAATGATGCCTTGACAAATGTACTACAAACAGGTCTGCCAACAACCGTATTTCCCAGTACGAAGTCCACGTTAATAATTAATTAGCAAAAGCGTAACAAACAGATAAAACACGCACATATTAAGTAACTAATACGGCTGGAGGCCTAAAAGGTCAGCAGGTCGAATGCATCGGGTTGAACGAACCGCAATGACGTTCCGATAGTGTTTAGCTCCGTTCTAGTTCTGCATTCCTGGTAGGTCGTTGACTGCACGTTATCAGCCCAAAGCGTGCACTTATGGCGGTGATATGAAATTGCAGCTTTGCGTATCGTTATCAAAGTGTATCGTTCCATGTGCTCGCTATTAAGTGGAGCATGACTAGGGGAACATGTTATCAAAACAGCACGTGCTTCACGTGTGATATACATATGGCATTAAAGTTATCTATGCTAAAACTGTGTACTTTAACCAAAATTATTAGCGTTAGCTGTGATAGTTATTCATGAATGAAGCTCTAATCTTATCTCTATTGTTGGCAGTGGGTGGGCCGAACAACAGACGGCGGAACTATCGCAATGTCCAACTACCGTCTCCACGTCCAGCCTCGACGGAGGAACGACCCTGGTGCGTCCATACCACTACGTCTCATTGACGTTCCGGAGATACGAGATTTGTTGCACTTGATTGTGCTTTGCAAAAACGGAAGACAACTTAAGTAAGTATCCTCGTTTGGTATGATAGCCTAGTAGAGAACGCCAGTTTACTTAGGTGACTAATGAACAGTATTATTAATTCCATTTCCTTTTTTGTTAGCGCTATCAAAAAAGGCAAAGAACAGTATCAGTGAATAACCATTTCAAAATATATTATATTGAACTTATTGATACATATGAAGAATACCGTTTTCCCTATAGTATTTATAGAACTTATACACGAAGTCAATCGATAATACTAGGGAAAACTATACGATTCATTTAATTTACATGTTGTTACTCACTTTAAACCACGCTCTTCCAGTACTGATTAGATAGTTCTTAAAGTATTTTATAATTGTACTTAGGTACTTATCTAGTGTTTACATACAAAGTCGTGATAGTCATATAGGTAAATATGGCACAGTACAACACGTCTTGTAAAACGTGCTCACTGCCATATTTTATGTTTAAAATTCACACTTTGTCTTGCCATGAAGTCATATGTCTATGTTTGAAAGGACCAAAGTTCATAATAACACACTTAATGAACAAGACTCAAATAATATAAACACAATCGATGTTGATTCAATTTTAGATTATTGAGGCTACTGACTGATAAATCGCCTAGCGACTAAAGAAAGCAAACATGTAAAATTTCCTTCAATAATAAGATAAAAATGTCTAAACTACCGTTTATTATCTGGTTGCTAGCCACATTTATTTTTAAGTGGTACACCTATTAATACAGATTACGGTTACATTCAAATGTTTTCGGGAAAGCCCGAGTCAGTTCGGGTCTCGGGGTCAATCGTTGTGTTTATTTTCGTGGCTTCTACATGACTCAATGTTTTGCATACCTACTAAACTAAACTCCGGTGGTATTATAACACAAACATTGTTCTTGTTTTAGATGCACATTCACCACAGGGGATCAATGCATAGAATGGTGGAGGCGGCTAACAACCGCGCTTGCCCCTATAGGATCCGTTCAGGAGACATTCGCCGCGGCTTACGCGGCGTGGGCCAAAGAACAGCCGCCCACGTCAGTGCACAGAGCACTAATGAGGGCTTCACAGTCTCCACAAAGACATTGGTTTGGTCCTGAGGTAAGTTTCAAACTTCCCAATAACAATTGCCTTTTGTTTTAATGCAAAAACGTTCTGTTCCGTCCGTGTTTATAATTATCTTATTTTTGAAATCCAGTTCGGGTTCAATGTTCACATTCAGAATGGCCTGAGAGTTCTTTCAAACTTCTGTTTAGTAACATTTTAACTGGTATATTTTGGAGCAAACTGACGCGAACAAATAACTGACGTCAGCGAACGTAGCTGCCGCCGTAGTAAAGAAAAACATTTATTTCATTCGCATTTAGAACACCGCGAAATCTCTTTAACACTTCTGACTACCTGGTACTTTGAACTTTGAAGCGAACTTTCAAGTTCGAATGAAAGTTACGTACGGTTAAAGAAGAAAGAATAATTGACGTAAAATTACGTCACTGGTCGATTTACAACCCATTCTTGAATTCAGCGTGTAGCGTTTCCCCCTTCCTGTTGTGTTATTTTTTCCCTGCAATTAACCTGTTGAGTCGCCTTGGTCTACAGGTGGAGCGATTAGGCTTCACTGCTAAGGGCGCGTGGCGGGTGACGGCAGCTAACGCGGAGTACAAGCTGTGCTCCTCATACCCACCTCTTCTTGTAGTGCCAGCGTCCGTCTGTGATGAAGACCTAGATTCCGTAGCTCGGTAAGTACCTATTCCCTAATTAAACAAAATATACTCAAGGTAAGGAGTCTCATAAGAACATCATTTTGCTCCACAAAACAGGGGTTTTATATGTATAGTAAAAGATGAAAACACGTCCGTCCGTCTTTTCGTCTTTTCTACGGGTGGAGAAATCCAATAATCGACACCAACGTTACCAAGACCTCATAAACCGCAGGAGATACACAATATTTTCTGGTTTGCAGGTTTCGCGCCATGCGTCGTATCCCGGCAGTGGTGTGGAGACATCGGGGCAATGGTGCTGTGATCGCTCGGTCGTCGCAGCCTGAGGTGGGCTGGCTGGGCTGGCGCTCCAGCGAGGACGAAAGGCTATTAGCTGCCTTCGTCAGCGCCTGCAACGCTGACCGGGGCATGCAGCCGCCTAATAACAATAAGGTAATTTTATCATACATCATTTTAATGCAAAAAAAATACACATAATGTACATGTGTGTGTGTATAACACCTGAAAATTTTCACTAAATGTTGTATGGATCCTATATGATACGATACCAACCCAGTACCTATCTGAATCTAGGTTTTCCTCGGCACTGTATATTATGACTATTGCAGTAATATGCAGTCGGCATTATGCTTTGTGTTAATTTTAATAGTTCTTTAATTTTGTTCTTATGTATTCTAGCTTTAAAACTTCTTTGCTATAATATCTCTAATAAATTAATATCATACTTATAACTACATAAGTACTGTTTTCTACTATGTTCTAACAATCTTATAATAACGAATGCAAGGAAGTACGCGTCAATATTTATATTTTATTGCACATTGCTTATTGTGAACGACTTCATAATAAGTTACGATGCAGGAAACTTACTTATTCATACTTAATGAAGGCTGTAAACGTTAACTAGCATTATGATTATAATTAAGTTTTAAAGATCATATGAATACCAGGAGACCATTATGTAGTTATGGAATTAATTGATTCAGTTTCCTTAACTAAGTTAAGATCGTAAGTAAAAATCACTCAGTAATCTATGTTTTAATAGATTTTATTAGTGATTTTTAGGTTTGTTGATATTGCAAAAGCTTATACTCTCTACCCACACCTTAAAGATAAATGTGTGTAATTAAAATATCGGCACAGGGAATCGGTTTCTGTGTATAGAATCCGGCGAATGTCATTCTTATTTCGAACATACAAATACATTCATATTTATTTAGCTTCAATCCACATGACCTATTACAAAATTTTAGCTACCTCACAAACACTAATAAAGAACATAAAATTTTATTGTTCCAGCAACTAAAACTCTTGATCGTGGACGCGCGTTCATACGCGTCTGCGGTAACCAACCGCGCGCGAGGCGGCGGGTGTGAGTGCCAACAGTACTATCCGGCCGCAGACATACAGTTCATGTGTCTGCCCAACATACATCATGTAAGGCGGAGCTTCCAGCAGATGAGGACTTTGGCAGCCGAACCCAGTGAACAGGCCAAGTAAGTAACTTACTATCGTTACCTTATGCAGCCCTAGTAATTTGTAGTCATTAATCTTCTTCTAATTCCTTGCTATTTATTTGAATCAAACTACTTAATGTATGTACTGAAAACATTTACTTTTATATCGTTAATCAATAAACCAGTGACACAATCTGATGCCCTGGTAACTCGTCTTAGCTGTAGGCACTACGCCCACCTATTTAGTTATCTCTACATTATTTATTTACTAAATGGGTGTTGGTTAGCTGCATGACCGTCACGTCACTTGATCACTTACGCCTACAGTCCTTCAAATGTAGACTCATCTTGTTAGTGATTTGATTGAAGGTCTAGGTTTTAGACTAAAGTATGAGAATTATGTCATGTATAGTTTACCACCTAAAAAAAGGTCGAGTTGCGAAAATGACAAAAATATTCTCTATAATATAGCTTAAATAAACTCATAACTTGTTCAAAAAACCCAAAAGCAATTTTATCAATTTGTCCCTCCGAAAGCCTGTGACGGTTTGATTATTGTGATTAAGCTAATGCTAGCTACAATTTAATGCATAGTTAGCTTGTTAGTGACGGTCAAGGACAGTCCTGACCATACATTGACGACACAACTAGATAATAGATAATCGATTGCAGGATGTGGGCGCCGCGTTTAAGGCGAGACTAATGCAGTTACGACCTAGGTTAATAGGCAGTATACTTCCTCTCTTCAATGCACTAAATAGGCAATGTTTACGCTACAAAGAACCTAGGTAATATTACAACGGATTTTTTGTGTCAGTTGGCACACTGCCCGAGTGGACTCATTGTTTTGTTACTCACTATAATATCTCTTCCGGAAACATTGCGCCGTCAAACGTTATTTGCGTGCCGTAGAAATTCACGAATTCTTTTTGCGCGAAATTCTGCAAGTAAAAATAAGTTCTGGCTAGCTTATTGAATCGTGTAAAGATTCTGTTGAGATTTTTTTTGGAATTTCAATCAATTTAATAAGTTATTCATCTTTTACGATTGATGAACTCAGATAGAATTGACAATTGGCTTATTCAAAATATGTCATTGTGATGAAAAATTATGTTTGACTTTGTCAGGTAAAAATCAGTTTAATTTAATACCTTATTTTTTCTGTTGTCCTAGTTGGCACAGCAATTTGGAACGAACACTATGGCTGCAGTATGTGTCAGGCGTAATACGCGCGTCCAGCGTGGTCGCGCGCGCTGTGGCCGGGGGCAGGCCAGTTCTGGTGCATTGTTCCGATGGATGGGACCGCACGCCCCAGATCGTGGCCGCTGCCCAACTCATACTGGACCCATATTACAGAACTTTAGAGGTATGTTTTGCTCAAATCATCATCATCATGTAGTTACCCGACCATCTAAGCTTTTCTTCAAGCATCGCCTTAATGTTCTGCGTTCTTTGAATAAATGTACCAGGACTACATAAACTGGTGGAAGTTGATATTTGCTTAATGCTTTTGTCGCTTTTGCTTTTGGAGCTATACATCAATGTAAGAAACATCATTATGACGTTTTTTAGTTAATCAATGAAATAAAAATAAAGATTATCATTAATCTAATTTGTAAACGTCACTTTATTGTTTACTGGATAGATAAAAATCATAAAACTATCAAAATAATTACCGGCTCAACTTTTCCACCAGGACCGCAGAACAATACAGGAGATTAACCGAGCGCAATTATCGCGTAACGCGTAGTATAAACTGACTCATTCATTCATCAGGGCTTCCGTACACTGATCGAGCGCGAATGGCTGGACTTCGGTCACAAGTTCGCGGACCGGTGTGGTCACCAGTTTGGCCCCGAAGATCCCAACGAAAGATCTCCAATCTTCCTGCAGTGGCTTGACGTAGTCCATCAGATGATGCTGCAATTCCCTTGCAGTTTTGAGTTCAACGAAGCATATCTGGTAAGTTACTCTTTTATAATTATGGACTCCTGATACATGATTTTTTTATCTAGTTTTTCTAGGAGAAACTACAGACTACTACTTACCTAACATTTATACGAATTTCAAACAAGAAGAAAAATAGTTTTTTCCCTCTATCGTTATAAGTAAGAGGTTATGTGTAATTCTGTTTGTGCCAAAGCGATTAAGTACCCAATACGCGATGGCATGTTATATTCATGTCAATATTTTATAAATTCTGCTTGAAAACAGTTATGTCAAGTTTGTTGTTATCCGTCCAAAATATGTTAACCTCAGAATACAGAACAAACCAGAAGGCGTCATCGCGCTTCAAACAGATGCAACTAAAACCATTCTCAACTAGAATAGTATGAAATTTCTACGATTAGTCAATTTTGGCATGTGGCATGTCGTGACGTATTTACGAGTATCAATTTTAATTTCATTAATGAAACAATGAAACAATGAATTTATTTTTGCAAATAGGCCTTAAAACGGCACTTTTACACGTCAAATTATATGTGAAAAACTAGATGAAGCCGGCATTTCCTATCTGACTACTCTGAGAAGAAATGCCGAAACAAACTCAGAGGTCAGTCTCTTTTCAAGTCCAGACAATATAAAATAACATAATGTGAGAGAACCGTGCAAGTTCATTCTGTAGTGGTCTTTTGAGGAAAGAACCACACCAGTTTAAGTGGACCCGTTCTGAAGACAGGCACGCAAGTGTCAGTTTGCAACCATATAGCTAGTGCTGTTGAGTTGTCCGACGAACAATACCGATCAAAAGAACATTTGGGTGGGTCGCGCAAGTACTCAAACTGTCAGAACGCAGATGACTGGTGATAAAAAAGCACGACAAATCTCACACGGTCCTTACACTAACAATAAATATAAAATAATAAAAATGTCAAATAAAAAATAAAAATGTCACAATAGGTGATCATGTCATTGTATAAAAAAAATAAATAAACGTAATGTCAAATTGTATATAAAAGTGTAACTTATGTTACAAACATGTCAACATGACCTGTGCAGACATTACAGCGGCTCATTCCCAAGCCTGACTATCCTCTAAGTAGTCTTTTATTTTATAAAATGCTTTACAGCAAAGTTTAGCCTTTATTACACTTTTAAATTTATTGAGGCTCAAATTTTGAATATCGCTAGGAATTTTATTGTAAAAGCGTATACATTGACACCTAAACGAACTACTTATTTTCTGAAGCCTGGAGGCAGGCACAACATATTTGTTTTTCCCCCTCGTGTTGATTTTATGTATATCACTATATTTCTTAAATAAGCTTTTGTTTTTATGAGCGTGAATTACATTTTCATAAATATATTGAGAGGCAACTGTCATTATTTTAGATTCCTTAAATAATTCTCTGAGCGAATGCCTCGGACTAAGATTATAGATTGATCGAATAGCCCTTTTCTGCAGAACAAAAATAGACTGGATGTCAGCAGCATTCCCCCACAACAAAATACCGTATGACATGATGCTGTGGAAATAACCAAAATAAACTAACCGCGCTGTATCTATATCTGTTAAATTTCTAATTTTTTTAACGGCATATGCTGCAGAACTGAGCTTCTTCGACAAGCCATCTATATGTGGGCCCCACTGGAGCTTAGCGTCCAGGGTTATACCTAAAAAGACAGTTGTATCTACAGGACTCAACTCCTCGCCCTTGACAAGCACACTGGTTTTTATCTATCATTATGCCGTCTTGTGTTATTACTACGTGTAAAAATGCGACTGGAACTACGAAAAAAGTTGATAAGATTACATTTCATCTGCAAGCATCGACTGCAATAGTATATTTAATTAATTATTGAATTTTTTTTATCGATTTATTTTTCTATGAAAATGATGCGGCCATTTTGTGAGTGTTGTCATTCTTGGTGAAAATTTTACCCACTTATTTATTTGTTGTGGGTTATATTTTGTCCATTATGGAGCCTATGCATATTAGTTTCCCTGACAAAAAAATAAATACAAATCATACAAAGGGCACGGTTAGATTAATTTTGGAAACTATCTAGCCAGAGCATAGTTTGCTCAATTCACTTTGAAAAGATATATTTATGACAAAGGTGGTTTGAAAACAGCATATCCTACTAAGATATATCTATACTAATTATAATGCTGAAGAGTTTGTTTGTTTGTTTGCTAGAATGCGCTAATCTCAGGAACTAAGTCAAGTAAGTAGACTTCTAATCTTTAGTTCCGAGTCTAAAGACAATACATATAAAAAACTAAATCAGCAAAAGGGAACGCAATAAAACCTTTGTACTTATTGAAGCTTTATTTTATTTGTTGTGTAAGTATAGTAGGTGTAACTAAAATTAACAAATCCAGAAATCGTCAACTTTTATGATACCTCTATGAAATGTGTGAACAACTAGTCTGTTGCATTTATCGTAAGTTTACCTATTTTGTTGGGTTTACTCGTATCTTACCCTCCTGTTGTAAAATTACCCCAAACCAAGGGAATTGTTTCACTGTCGGCAACACTACGCGGGTGGGAAGTGCGGCTGGCGGGGGGATTGACGTATTGTTTTTGGACACATTTGACGACATGTAATTATGAGTGAACGCGGCTTCTGGTTTGTTCTGTATTCTGAGATGTTAACTAAGCATTTTAAAATTGTAATTTTCTATTTATAAAATAAATACACTCGGTATATTTATAGGTTTTAAATACAATAACAAGTTTTCCGTATGAGACATACATAATGTATTTAGATTACTTATACATAAATAGGTATTCGATATTCAGTCACCAAAAGCTTGAATCGCGTAACTTCCTAAATTTAAAATTTATACTAACTCATTAGGAGCTCATTCTATATAGCTCAAAACATTAAGGTCAAATACATAACATAAACGTAGTTCGTAATTTGATTGTACCTTTTCAAAATGATGCTCCCCTAGTAATAGCCCGGTCATTATTGCAAGTGCAATTGCAACGATGTACCGAGGTTTAGGTCGGAGCAGCAGAAACGGGGTGACTTTTAACCAACTTCATTTGAGTATGAAACCCTCTCACTGTCTGCCTAGGGGAGGACAAGTCATTATATTTATTTCCCCATCCCTAGAAGAAAAAGAAAATAAAAAAGCTTACTAATCGCAATTCTTGCCTTATAACATGTGACTGCATACAGTTAGTTACCTACATTTTTAAGTCTCTACGTAATATCGTTTACAGATAAAACTGGGAACGCACGTGCACTCGTGCATGTTCGGCACGTTCCTATGCAACACAGGGCTAGAACGCATCGAGTGCCGAGCGCACGACCTCACGCCTCACGTCTGGCATCTACTGCGGGCGCCCGCCTACAGGAACCATCTTTACTCGCCGCATCAACTCGACCAGGTATGCACAACCTGTTCCTGTCGTATTATGGTACTTTCCAACTTGACAGAATCAACACTCCAGCTTCAAATAGCACTTTCTAAATGTTAAAGACAAACTTCTAAATGTTTCTTGTCTCTCAAATTTGTATGAAATAGTAATTTATGACGTTTTATAAATAGCATACATTACATAATTTAAATAGAGAAATATAATATTAAGTATATCGAAAAAAACATTAATAATACGGTAGTTTCCAACTACTCAAATTCAATACTTTTATCCAAATGTCAAAAACGATACTTTTCTATGAAATACTGAGTTATGACGTCACAAAATGTGGCGTCAAATAGCTTACTTCTTTTTTAAAAACTAGCTAATAAATATCTAAAATTTTGTGTATCGATCGATCGATGAATAAACGTAAAGTAATTTTCAATATTTTATTGAAACGTCAAATTAATTTATTTTCGACCTGGGAATCTACCCAATTATGATTATTTTTCAATATTGGATTGTTTTGAAACCCAATAAAGAGTAAAATGTTTTTATTGCACATAAAGCTGACTCTTATATCTGACGTCTTTTTACAAAATACCCGTAGCAATTATCAAATTGCTAATAAAAAACTAATTGAACGTTATTTAGAGGATTCCTATAATTGTTATATATATATGTTTTACAGTGCTCAAAATAAAATTTAATTGTAAAATTTTGTCCCGCGTAGCAAGCAATATGGCCGGAATACTCGGTGCGGACTATGTGCGTGTGGAGCGGGATGTTCTGCGAGAGTCCGCGCGACGAGCCGCGCACCGAGCACAGGCCCGACCTGCCGCCGCAACAACTACATACTGCACAACCACATAATGGTAATGCAAACTTGTTATTAATTCATTAAAAAAACATATAATTTTATGAGAGATTGTCTATACTAATATTATATAGAGGTAAAATTTGTAAGTTTATATGTAGGGGATAATCTTTAGAACCGCTGGTCGGATTTAGAAAATTCTTTCACTGATAGTTAGCTTCAATTTTTCTGAGTGGTATAGGCTATAAAACATCACGCTTCCGTCAGAGGGAGTCGAACAGCGGGTGAAACCACGCGAGAGTGGCTAGATATTTCATAAAAAAGCTTATTTATGTATGCGCAAATATTTTAATGTAAATTGAGATGAAAGACTATATCTATTCAATTTATCCGTTTTGATTCAAGCGCAAATGTTGCGCTAAGTTTTGCGCAATTGTTTTATTGTTACGGTTTGTAATATTATCTAAGATTTGTCGCTTTTATGGCTATGAAATTATATAAGCAGATGATGCGCTAAACTTGCGCAAAAATTTCGATACTATGTTACTATAAATTGTTTTATTGCAATTTATTGTATTAGATTGGCACCATAACATTATTAAATTATTGATTTTCTGTCAGAGTTTTGCTGTTTAAATTATTCATACTTATAGTTTCCATAAATATGTGATTTGGACTCAGCGAATGATGTTTTTTTTATTAAATTCTAGGTCTGATGACTAAAACGAGATCATGTGACAACCTACTGAATGAGGGCGAGCGTACTGAGCGAACGACACAGAGGCGATCTAGTGATCCCAGCCTCGCAGCTGATGTTATGTAAGTATACATAGCTAAATCAAATTATAAGCTCATCTCATCCAACCACTGCAAGCCACTCTACGAATATCATCGGTCCACCTAGCTGAGAGCGTCCTACACTACGTTTGCCTAGTCGTGGTATCCACTCTAGAACACGTTTACCCCAAGTTTTAGAGTTTATTCATTACAAATAAACAAACAAATATTAAAGAATCCTCATTAATATTTGCAGGAAACTGTCGATGGTAGTGGGAGGCGAGTGTGAGAACAAACGCGAGTGTCGCGCCGCGCTCACTGACAGCTGCGTCGACGAGCTGCCCGTACTGCCCGTCCCAGCCGACTCCGGGCCCGACACGGTCAGTCACTTAACTATTATACTTCTTATACATTCAAACTTTCCTATTATTACCCTTGTACAATTAAAAAGGTCTTTTAGTCACACAAAAACGAATCTTCAAGTAACCTATATGCCCAACTCTCCCAGCCAAGCAATTATGAAAGTTATAAAAACGAAATTTGATGGCCCGTTTTTACTAGGAGTTTTATAGAAACGGAACACTTAATACGCAACTTGTTTTGCAATATGAAACGAAGTGTTAGGCAACAATTCGTTGTGAATGACACAGAGTTTTTTCGTTTGGGAGAGAAAGTAACGGCTTTACTTAAGGTTTATCCTAACTAAATCATCGATATTCTCATTCCAGGTGGATGGTCTACATCCAGACCATTTTGAGAACAGCACTCGTCTTCCTCGCGACATCGCCAGTGGATCATCTTCATTAGAACGAGAGCTAGGCGGTGCCGCAGACCTTTCCGACAAAATTATACCCGATCAAGTCATAGACCATACAGAAGATTTGACCACGTCAGACAATAGCCAAGTTAATGGTACTGCGGAAAGCGTCTCTGACGTCGCAGCTAGCGTCGCCTCGCCTGACGTCGACACCCCCGAAGAACCACCCGTGTTCGTCTGTGATACTTACTCCGATGTCATCGGGATGGCTGAGGTCAGTACTTCTTGTCGATATGCTAGCCTGGTACTCCATATTAAGGAACTAAAATTTCCGACATCAAATTGGAGATTCTTTAGAAGAGAGCCTGCTACCAGCTCTCTGCCAAATGTGTAGTCCCTTAGTCTCCTCGGAGAAAGACCACCCAGGAGAAGACTGGCAGTGGATTTCTTTTTATCCTATTTTAACTTAATATCCGAACCTAATTTCTATAACTTTTCTTTTTTTAGGCTGCTAGAGAATCAGCTCGCACGAGAAACATTAGCATAACCTGGCGCTCCGTATCGGAGTCTAGCAACCAGTCTTCCACCGGTTTTGAGATCAACGAGGCTCGAGCAGAACCACCAGCTTCTAGAAACACGTCCCACGATTCCTCGCCAATGGACAATCACACTACTGAAGATAGGACGAACCACAACGTGGTGACTGAAGACCATACAACAGAGATTGGTGTAACCAACGGAACAGTGAACGGAATCGATGACGTTGGGACGAAGTTTTTAGAAGTTGATCTAAATGGTGAGCTTTTCCTTCTTTCCCCAATATACAGATAAAAATAGCTCTTTCGAGTTCTGCTAACCTAGTAAAGAGCAATTTTTTTATTCTTGTTAAATTTAAAGGTTTTTTTGCCTTTCCAGGAGGAGCGACATCAAGCAGCATTAGTTCAGAGAGTGAGGGCGAGGCACACACACAGCCACGGCGGACTGCACACACACATACACGCACCCGTGTGGCCAGTCAGCTCACTCTATGTCCAACATCACCACGCCGAATTGCTTGTTGCCACTGCTCCAGACGAGCTAGTAATACCAGTGAGTTGACTCTATGTGATTTATGCATGCCTGGTACCGAGGTGCGGTTGGAACCAAACCCGTAACACCAGAGGAGTTACGAATGCGTTGCCGACCTTTTGTGGGATTATATTTAGAGATTGCCGGCGGATGGGGGTAGGAGAGAGTTTGGGGTCGGATGGGGGAGGATAGGGATTAGGGGGAGATGGGGGTGCGAAATAAAGATTGGTTAGGTACCCGGTAACCTATCCACACGGCGAATCACAACATTGTTGGTTGGTTTTCTGTGAGGCCCTGGTATCTCTCTGGTCAAAACGACAAATTAGCGCCGAAGCTTAGCTTTACCTTTCTCACACTTATATCTTGGTATCTGTAGGATCATTTTTTTATTGAAATACCATTGTTTTAAATGAATTGGTGTTTGTTTGCAGGTGGAATCGAGACATCGGGTGAGTCAGGCGGCAGCTCGGAGATATGTTGGTGCGGCGTGTGCGGCGGCGCGCTGGGCGGCGCGCGCGTGCGCTGCGTGTGCGGCGCCCCCGCGCCCGCCGCCGCCGCGCCCGCCGCGCAGCGCGCAGACCCCGTCGACGGCCTGCCGCCCGCCCTCGACCCGCTGCAAGCCCGTCTCCATCAGATCATACTCTATCAAAAGGTTCGCACTCCTCCACGCTCATGCCAGCCTAGTACTTTTACTTAATAAACTGCAGCTTTCAAGCGCAATGTGCATTCTTGTTTACCATTTATGTATGATGCATTCAACCTACATAACATACCGCCTCCCACCAATGCATACACGAAAGAGTCACGAATACTGGTTGTTTGATTACAGAAAGTAGTGGAGGAACTAAGCGGCCAATTACGCGAAGCGCGCGAAGCATTGCGTCTGTCATCGCCACCCGCACCCGCCCCGCCCCCAGTACCACCAGCCGCCACGCCTACGCAAGTACGCTATACCATACACACACACACTTCCCACTAGTTATCCCATTCAAAACATTAGTAAATTAGCATATGAAAACATCCAGTGCCCTAAACCTATTAAAAAAAACTTTAATCTCGTTTTTTTACGATAGATAAATTAGTAAAATCTTTAAATTAGTAACTGTAAGAGTTCTCAACCTTTGGACCGTGGTCATATTTGTATAACGTAACATTTCCGTGGTACAGAAAACGAGCAGTGGTAGTGGGTCGGTGCGCGGCAGCGGCAGTAGCAGTGGCAGCGCGTCCGAAGTAGAGGTGGGCGAGGAGGCGCGCGGCGTCGTCTGGCTGCCCGACAGCGCCGTCCCGCGCTGCCAGTACTGTAGGAACCACTTCTGGCTCGCCAGGCGGCGTCACCACTGCAGGTAATTACCGGCTACCAGGGCGGCACACCTGTGTAGGAGTGAGCACTAGTATTAATGTTTCTGTTTGGCTACAGACGGTGCGGTGGCATCTTCTGCGGGTCATGCTCGGAGATGTCGTCGTGGGGCGACTGCGGCAGCATGCGCGTGTGCCGCCGCTGCCGTGCGCTGCGGTGACTGGGCGCCTGGTACCGGGCCGGCCGCGCGCCGACCTCCTCCCGCCTCTGCCGCCCGTCTACATACATTAGCGTTCCTATAACAATACAGAAGCAATACAAAACTATAGTTACGTCTAAACAGTTTTACGTTAAATAACTAGTCAAGCCGCTTCGATAACTAGCTTGTGAAACGTTTTCAAAACGCTATTTATCTACGAACTGTGTATGAGAATTATAATTGATTGTCATCTTTATTTTCATTAATATCACCATGACATTATTGTTTCATTGAATGTGCTAACGACATTTACCGACCGTAGTCCGAACAGTTGGGTGGGGAGTGACGTGTAACGTGAAGTGGGACGATCTAGTCTGTCGAGGTGTGTGGGCGTTGTATGGCAGGTCGCGGTAATGTAGTTAGGAAATGGTATAGTGAATTGTTACGCGAAGGCTGACTTTCTACGATTAATATTTAAACTTTTTTCTACGACTGTTTTTTTCGGTCTGTATAAATAAATTCACTAAATGTATTTTTTCTTTTCGATTCTTTTTTGTTATGTTTTGTTAGTCGAGACAGCGATGGTTGTACCCTGGCCCAACAGGTGTGAATACACTCACGTAACACTTTGTATAAACTTGTTTTTTTTTTCTTTTTATTTTGTATTATAGTGTTTCGTTTGTTCTATAATTATTTTTGTACAGTAAGGTACTTTGTTTCACACTTGGTCAGACACTGCGACTTCCCCGGCCGACTGTCTGGCTCGCTGGTCCGCGTGGCTCGGCTCGGCTCGGGGATCAATAGCCTTAAATAAGACTTAATTTGTATATTCGACATTTTCCATTAATTTCAAATGTATAAGATACATTTCTTTGTACTAATTAATATTCGACTGAATTCGCTTATGGATAAGAATAGATGTCTATATTGGACATATTGATTTATAAAATCCATTCTAAGCTTTATGGTTATGTTGATACATTTATATTGTGGACTAAATTTTCACCTAATTTCGTAGAGTAGAGCGTCAGAGTTCTGTATTTTATTTGTGATATTGTGATGATAATTTTGTATAATGATTAAGAGTTTAATAACATGTTGTTAGAGGTTAAATTTTACAGGTGATTACTTTAACCCTCGCGGTGCGTTGATTTTGCTGTTGTTGCAACGATTGCCGTGTACGTAGGACCATCCCGCGATTCCTGTCCCGGGTCTCGCGCGCCCAACGCCGCGGCGACGAGCGGACAGATAACTAAACAGCCTTATACAACTTTCCAAGACAATTTCAACCCTCTCTTCTATACCATAGCTGTTACTTTTCTTCAAACGTTTTTATACAAACTTCGTACTGTATCCGCTCCGTCGCCGATGGTCGCGCGACAGCAAATCTGCTTCGTATATAAATAAAATGATTTTGTAATTTATTCGTAAACTGAGGGGATTGTTGTTAACTGCATATATTTTATATTGTAAAGGAAAAGCTCGGAGTAACGTGTAAGTATTGTCGAAGTGCAAAACTTGTTTGTGACCAATGAATATTGACACGATGTGAAATAAAGCATATTTAGTTTTATGATATATTTTTTTCTTTACCCCTATACCTTGATCTAAAACAATTCGACAATAACAATGCCTAATGGAGTTTCTGTTAACTTAACTGGCGTGTTACTTTTCTATTTAAAATGTTTAAAAATATAAATCAGATAAGCTCCAGAATTACGGGCACAAGGGCTTTTAAGATACCGGCCTCAGCCTCTGGAGAAGGAACGCAGTGGTTTTCAGTCAGTTAAGGTCTGACGCAGTAACTGTAAGGTGGGGCGAGAGAAACAATTTGATGATTTTCCCCCCTTTAAAATAAGCTTACAGCTATAATATACAGAAACAGACCTTTAGTAATTAAACTTTGATACAATTAAGCACACTGACGCTGAAAGTTCCGCTTTAAATTGGGTTAAATATAATGACCACCATAAAATGCATGGATACCCTTAATATTCTTGCACTTGAAATTGTATCCGACCACAACAAAAATTGTAAATGAAAACCAAATCTTAGCGAGGTAATTGATGCGTAAGATATTATATGAAATCACATCATCAGCCTATAAGTGCCCACTGTACAGCAAAGGCCTCTTCTCACTCGGAGAAGGTTTGAGCATTATTCACAACGGCGCACTCAAGGCGGACTGGCGATTCCAAACTTATAATTAGACATTACAAGTCCCGGTTTTCTTATAATATTTTCCTTCACCGTATGTCAGTGATGTATTTTATGATACCTATCTGGTGGTAGGTAAAACGTAAAGGCCTCGAGAGGAATGGGACGTGTTAGACGTGTCGAAAGCTTTCGATAGGGTATGGCGCGATGGCCTTTTGTCTAAGCTTCCAGCATTTCTCCTGGTCTGATAAACTGGGTAAAAGTCTTCCTGAGTGAACGGTCACATACATCGAGGGATTGGAACAGTTTGCCGGCTGCAGTCTTTCCGTCCGAATACATTTACAATTACAATTTAGGCTTCATGGCTAGAGTGAATAGGCTCTGAATAAACTAGTGCGCCTTACCATCAACGATTGCATCACTGCTTACCATCGGGTGGGATCGCAGTCAAGTACTAGTTTATTGCAAGTATAAAAAAATGACAAAATAGTCATAGAAAGTACATATAACTCGGAAAAACTCACATTGGTACTTGCAAGGCTTCGAACTTACACATACTCACCTCATGTATACGAAAAGAAGCGGTCGCCTTCACCTCCACCTTTGGATAAGTTGGTCAGTTTAGTTAGAAGTAGGTAATGACTGAATACATCAAAAATGTCGTGATCAATATTATTTTTGGGCAAACAATTAAATAATTTTTCATCAATCATTTTCCTTTAAAAGTAGGTAGGCTTTCTCTTTTGTAAAATGGTAAAAGTTTGATTATAATTAAACATTGAAATGCGGTCTTAATCTTGGAGATCGTTTACAATTTTATTTATTACTAGCTACTCCCGCGCGGTTTCACTCGCTGCTCGACTCCATTTGATTGTAGCGTGATGTTTTATAGCCTATACCACTCAGGAACATCGTAGCTATCAATAAGTGAAATAATTTTGGGAATCCGACCAGCGGTTCCAAAGATTACCCACTACATACAAACTTACAAATTTAGATAGATACTATTTTATGATAACTGGATATATAAGTAAAACAAGTTCTTAAATAGGTAAAGATTAGATTGCTAGAGCAATCTTTCACAATCTAGAGGTCATAGATTAAAAAGGAATGACAATTTCACAACCTCTCTTATGCTGGTGCATCAGGTTTAGTGCTTTTATTAGGCGTTTTGATCATTCGTACGTAAGTATTACTGATGACAAGTACACATAACAGCTCACACACGGGACCTACTAATTGTTTAGACATATTTCCGTGGTGTTTAATGAATGGCCCCTTTCTCCCAGTTCTGTAATCAAGCCTTTATAAAGTAACCCATTTTGTCTCCTTCTCCTGCATTAAATTGACCAAGGGAAGTGGAAATTGTGGCATGTCCCTGGGACGCGCTGGACTTCAGTTTTTGTATTTTCATGATTGTATCTGTCGCTCCTGTCCTGTATCGCTCGCTTACAGGGGTTGCAGTCTAGGAATGTTGCGGGCTAGTACCATTTTAAATAAATAAAAGGCAGAACGTTTTCAATAGCGGTTAGGCAACTGGCTTCTGAGCAGCGAGTCGCGGGTGCGTACTAAGCTGCTAGGTTTTTTTGTGAGGGGAAAATCATCAAATGACTTCTCCCGCCCAGGGCTGGGGATGGAGTGTCAGACTCTTTTACTGACTAAAAACTCCCCTGTTCCTTCTCCTGCTCTGAGCCGAGGTCGCGGTGCCTCATTGCGCTTACCCCACAACCCCGGCTGAACATCAGCCCTATAGGACCCCGTCTGTGATGGTCTATTGGCTCTTTGAGACGCGCGCGGAACGCTATTCGCCGAACGCTCGGGCCTGGTTCTGGTCGGGCGGCGAGCTGCCCTTACCCGCCGACTGCAGACCTAAGCTGCTAGGTGTGGGTATGATAAGTGGGTGTGTGTGCACTCACGAAAAAATCCTAGACTGGGGCACTGTGTTTTTATAGCTTCCTTTATGCTAGCCCCTGTAAAAATATATTTGCTTAATGTGAGATAAGATAGGAGCGATCGAACCGAATGATGTCTGTCCCATATTATGGCTTACATTTGTTTTTCATACATTTGAATGTATATGTGTGTATAAACGTGTCTAAACCTCCGTGTAAATAACAATCAGTGATTCATTTGGAAATCCATTTATTCACAGCATTCGTTAACATCAATCTCTGTAGTGCTTACAACTAATCAACATTGATAACACATAAATGCAAGTATTTGGCTAGAACTAACATGCAGTACATAACGCGTTGGAATAAGAGCTCTATTTTATTAGGGCACCATAGTCGTACGGGAGGTCGCGCAACCATATTTCTGGCAACAAAAGTACATCGGTCATTTGAATTTACATTAAAACAGCAACACGAGGCATCGGCAATGCCTACAGGAGGCCTACTGCCTACTGAGGCATTGACTACAAGTGCAATATGGACTATGAAGGCAACTGTTTGATTGCACCTACGACGCCGGTGTCACAGCACAGCCGCTAGGATTGATTTGGCGAGCAGAAGAAGGAATGACTAAACCCCCCCCCCCCCCCTCGGTAAAGTCTGATACTCTCTTTCGCCTCTCTTTCTCTGTGCGAGAGAAGGCAATAAGTGCGATACAATACATACATTTTCTTAGTTTGTTGACCCTGATCGAACGACTATGGTCTTTCAATAATATAAAGCTCTTAAATCCTTTGTATGTTAATAAACAAGAAATAAAAGGTAGACATAACACTGGAAAATGTTATTAGAAAAAGTTAAAAAAAAACAACGCTTTTATTAAAGCAATGCTACTAGGAGATCAAGACCATTACAGGTATAACTTTTAAAACATTTTTGCGGAACCAAATATAAGTTGTTAGCAAAATATTGAAAAAAAATATGTGTTGTTCTAACAGTTTTTTGTGCTTTTATTAGGTACTTAATACAATACTGATATAAATACTTAATTTCAAGAGTGAGTGACTCTATCATAACATAGTCACATAATATTTGGCATAAGAAAAAACACCTAGGTACTAATAAGATAAAACTTATTAATATTAAATTACTTTGGAAGCTAAAAAACTTTAATTAACAAAAATATAATTTATAATAAAATGCATCTAAGTATAAAATAAAATATTCCACTATAAAACATGAAGACAGATCTACAAATAGTTTCAATAGATTATAAGGTAATACAAAAAATATCTTTAAAAATTGGATCTCTCGTAAAACTACTAGGATCTAATAAACTTAGCACAGTGCATATTTTAACCAAGTGCAGTTTATATTAGGCTTTTGAACTTTAAATGTGATTTTCGTTGAATTCAATCTTTATTTAAAATAAGTGCCTGAGGCCTCCTAATATTTTATGCAATCCTAGTATATTAAGTTAAACAACATAATTATAATAAATACAATTAAAAAGTTTTGACTAGTAAGCTAACTTTATACTCTAATAAAATAAATAGAAAATAATTTATTAGGCCTTAAACTAGGAACAATAAGTATTAAAATAGAGCTAATACAAATTTACAATCGATTACGTATTTTGTCTTGAGTTCTCAACAAGCTAAAGCTTCATACAACAAATCGAAAAGAGGTAGACATTTTACGTAACTAATATTTATATAAAATATTGCTTAGAATAGATTGGTACATATTTCGAACAAATTGATAAATTACTTATCAAAACAGAATATAAACGTTAATATGGGGCCTGGGGCTTATTTTACTGTGTCTCTGAGCTGAGAGCAAATAATTTAAATTAATTATACATATGAATGTCTTTTAGTTTTCTATATAAAGGTTGTGAAAGAGGCGCTAAATAGGGTAAGAATTAGTTCAACACAGAAATAGATATGGTCAAAGACTAGAAAACAGTGTCATCACGCTTTTCTTAAAGGAATGTTAATTAAATAACTTTGTGAAAAAATAAATTGACTTTGGTTGACATTCAAGAATGGAGAAATAACATGAGATAATGCACACTATGGTATTTAGAGCAAACACACAAATTAACATAAATGCAATGAAAGGGCAGAGACATTTAAAAAGGCGTTCAAAAGGTCGAGGAAATTGTAATCATTGGCCGCATTAACCAATCAAAGGTTATTATGCGTTTGTACTGAATTGATCTTTTTTTGCTGACTTGACTTGGGACATGTACATGGGAATTCAATAGTTTCTTCCAACAGAAAGATATTACTTCATGTTCAAACATAAAAACGCTTCAAAATAATCACAGTTTCATTCATTGACTTGCTTAAATTTTTTACCTAATTTGAGATAAATGAGTATGCACTTTGACGCAAAACAGTTATGACGTAACAACTTGCTATTTCATAGAAAATAAGTAATTTTGACTAGTTGGAAAGTATCCTAGTATTGAATAGTGCACACGAATACATAGTTTTTCGGAAAATGAGTTCCTTTTATTCTACAAACTTGTCATAATACGTCCCACATCACAACATACAAAGTGGATATTTTGTACGATATTTAATATTAATACTATGTTGGCTTGTTCCTTACTACCTAAATTGTATAAAATGAAGTTGATTCGTCTGTAGGTACGTCTCAACTACTAGACCGTAACAGATTTTTATGCGTGTTTTGCTTTGTGACAATTTATTATTAATTTATAGACAAGTTGTTGTTTACAAAATTTCGAAGTATTTTCGATATCCAACTTATGAATATTGCATGTTAAAAAGAAAATTTTGTTCTTCTCAAGACAAGAAGATTTCTAGGCATAGTTTCGTTATTCACATAAGTATTAGATTTAAGTACTAATCACACAAATTACTAGAAAAGCATTGTAATTAAAGCTTGAGCGGTTTCCAATAAAAGGATCCTAGGACCAATCTCGAAAAAGGGACAGCACAAAATATTCAATTTATTCTAATCACATTTATCTATTTTCCATTTATTTTATCTACATAAATCTTGTCATTATTACAAAAATACTGATATTTTTGAAGTCATGGATTTATTTGTAAGAAATAGACACAGAAGTTTTATTTTAGTTTACACATTCGATTTTTAACTTGACAAAATGTTGCAAACGCCGTACGACTAGGTTTGCCATAGCAAAAATTATATAATACAATATTAACTGTTGCAACACTAAGATGACTTTGGGTTAACAGGGTGATAGTTGTTGTACTTTATTAAAAAATGCTTTAAGGTCATTTAAACCACAGAACAATATATTTAAGACATACAAAAAAGAATTTTAATGGTTTTGTCGGAACAAAAGTGAATAATAAAACTTCTGTATCTATTTCTTCATAGTATAGAGTTATTTTACGTTGACATTCTACCCTATGTCTTCCCTACATGTGGATTGTCATGTTTCCTCTTATAATCCATCACCATACTGAGCACTTTGTTTCTTACCTGATCCAATGCCTTGTACATATCAGCTGTAAACGGTTCGAAGTCTTGGTGCTTCTTCTTGCGTCTGTATATGCCTTCTTTGTTAGCCATCGCGCAGTTCATGTCCGCCTGGTAGGAAGAATGGAAATATGCGAGGTTAAAATTTGATTTGATAATGCCAAAAGAAATAAATAAAACCTGATAGGCTGAACAAATCGAATAATTATTTTGTTTGTTGGTTTCATTATTAGGTAAACATCTACATGAAAGACGAAATCAATAGATCACAGTAATTATTTAATTAAATAAGTAGTTATAGTGTGAAGTCAATGAGATATTTAACATATTAGATAAACTTTTGGGTGTGCAACAATTTATCAATATATCAATTTCCAAATGTGCAGGCCAGTGGAACTCAAGACAAAAAAAAACTGTTTGACATAATGGCGCCTGCTCTAATGTGTAGCGGGTTCGATTCCTGCGCAAAAAAATATTTTGTCTATAATAACTTTTAAACAGGTCGTGGTCACAAGCAGACTGTACTCTACTACAGGAGTCTGCATATGACCACGACCTGTGCAACCACGTCGAAACGTCAAGCCTACCAAGGTATTTAGATAATTAATTTCGCGTCAATTTATATTGCAGTATTTTGTCTAATCTTTAAATTGTTATTTTGGGTGTGGGTGGCTTATGCACGTGATTTTGTATGTTTTTAAACACTCTCACGACACAGGAGAAAACCGAGGTGTGGAACGTTTTAAAAAATAAGTGTTAGCCTAGGATTTTCTCCTTTGTCGATGGTGCGCTTTTGGTTCCGTGTGAGAATCGAACTGCGACACATTGCATGGCAGCCAGTTGCCAGCCACCGCGCCAATCGTACAGTCATATCAGATCAGATTAAAAAAGTACAGTAAATCAAAACTTACCTCAGTAACGTTATAATTCAAGAAATCCAGTATGCCTTGCAGTGTGTTCCTGGTGTCGCGTACTAGGACTTCATAGAATACAATGTGTAACGGCCCCGGGAATCTCGTCAGCCACATTTGATGTAGTGTCTCCCAGGCTGTCAGCTGTGTTGATACATATGTAGACCAGTCTGGAGATATTTAATTTTAATGTAAACTTAACAAACATGTTTACACCAAATGCTATAATGTTATCAAACAGTACCAGAAATTGAGATAATATTTATTTTTGTATAGTGATCTAATTTCCAAACGGTCGAATGGGTCAAACTATCTAAATATATTAAGTTAACTTATAATGCAAGTAAAACTATTGATTACAAGAATACTGGCGTGATACAAGACTAACGTTGGGTTATGCCGCGTGACCTTATCAAATCCCCAAAACTCCTAACCTTAGATGCCTAACAATCCACAAAAGGCTAGCAATGTCCCTTTGGTGTGTCCATGAATGGTCCTCTTCCCATAAATAGTGCAGGATGTTATAATATTTGACACTTCATTAAATATCAAGTCAACAGGTCAAGTAACATGTCTCTTATTTCTAAGGCATTGCATGGCAACATTAATTACCTAGTGGTATTTAATAAAACATTAAAAATGTAAGTACCTGATTTCTTATTTTCATGTGATTTCTTTTTGAAAGCTGATTTTGGCGCTGTTCCTATGTGACCCCTGTGTAGTCTGTGGAAATCAGCCTGGAAATAGTTAATATTTGAATTAATTAAATGTCACCCACAAAATTACAGTACTGTAAAAAAAAAGTTGATAAATAGTTGATACGAAAAACAACACTAATAAGTTTATCATATGAGCATTTCTTACAAATAAAAAAACATATGCAGATAAAATATCAAAATAAATAAATGAAAGCAAACAAAAACTATAATTACCATTGAATAACCTCTTCATTGGTTCTGTCGCCCTGGTAACTGGTATGAGCACATGAAGCAAAGAGTGAGAACAATGAGAGCAACTAATTGTTAAAAACAAGGCATTCACAGCATCAAACATAAACTGAAAAAATATACACAAAAACAAAAAGCTTAGAAAATCATAATAATGTATGAAAAACACACAAAATATATTATACTACAGTTTTAATTAAATGTTCAAAATTAACATTCTCTTCAATTAAAGATCAGTTGGTTACCAATGAATAAAAGTCAGTTTCAAAAGTCTATTAACAAATAAAATTAGTTGATTTGCATTCCTAAGATATTCCTTTTTAAAAAAGTTCTCAATATAATGTTTTAAAATTCTATTGTCCATTTTATTCATTGTAACAGACTATTGTACCTTTTATTTCAAAAATATTATGATCACACAATTGTGTTTTGGCATTAAAAAAAGAATTATAAAATCTATCTTTAGTATTCAAATTATGTTGATTTGACCTTTCCATATTTATAGGTAACATTTAAAAAGGTGAGAATCAATCAATTAAAAGGATATTATCAGCCCAGCTTTAAAAAGGATGATACAGCAAGGTCTTTATTTAGAATACAGCTACACACAATGAAACATTATTTGAATAACAGAAAATAGACTAAAAATTAAAAAAATAAAATAGATTAAAAATAAGAGATTAAAAATTGGAGATGCTTAATGTTGCAACTGTTGCTAATTTAGTCTTATGAGACAATTTATTAAAATGAATAGTTTTTTAAACAGGACGAATTTGGACTGATAATTAATGAGATAATTGTACAATGCATGCTTATTTCATATGCAGGTCATGGACTAAGCAAATTACAGGTGAACATGGTACAATGCTTGACAAAATGAATATATACAAAATATTAAAAGGTAAAAAATGCAAATTATGTTATAACTACATTTGAATACACCTATATACAATTAAAGTAACATAATTAATACAATTACTGGCATAACTATTACATCTTATCCAAAAATGTTGTAGTAGCATTACCATAAAACTTACCAAAATGGCATCTCGGGGGTTTCGTATCAATAGTATAGCAGATCTAAACTTATCGGAATCCATTGGGACAGCATGAGTTTTAACAACCAAGACTGAGCCATCCGTAACATTTTCTGCGGGAAACCCATGCACTCTTAATCCGTAATCCATGTAAATTGAGCCTGTCACTACACCTGTAAAACAATAAGTTAACAAGAATTAATTTCAATAATGACCTGCCATAAATTGTTTATTTTTATACTGACAGCTGATAAGTGATGAACAACAGCTATATGGATGTTTACATTAATTTATAAATAGAGGGGGATTCAAAAAAGTGATGATACTGATTTCTATAAAAATGGAAGCAAATAGCAGGATAGATTTGGCAAATAATAAAATTGTTATCCCAAAAATTTATACTTTTACATCAATCTTTTTATTTAAAATAAAAATGATAATTGAGATTCAATACAACATAATAACACTAAAGATTCTGTATTAGGGAGAAGCGTAAGTACAATCATCAATAGTGTTGTTAATATTCCGGAACTAACCAGTAACTTGTTGCAGCAAATATCTGAGCCATGTGTTGCCACTGCCTGGGTAAGACACTAGCGCGACCACATCTGGGGACGGCGGGCTCCGCCACTTGAGCTCACTACACCAATTCACGGGCGGATCGTGACGAAAAGCAAAATTATTCATATATCCGCCCGCATAGTAACCACCTCTCGAACCATGTAAAGGGCTCAACATAAACAATATTATTGAAAAATACAACATCACCACCGCCGCCGCAAGTAAAAATATTGATCTCCGTGACATAGCTGCTAATGTTATTTCAATTTTCGTCAAAATAAACATTTTTTTTATTCATGATTTCACAATATTGTACTCCTGCCCACTTCTATGTTTTGATTTCGAAAACATGTTTATTTCACTAAGCTAGAGATTATTTTTTATAGTCATTTGATAGTTGCACATTATTAGTTTCTTGCATTCGTTTTATTAATGTTGCAAATATCTATTTATTTTTTATTTTAAATAAAATATGAAAATGAATGTTTTTGGAAGTAGAATATTTTGACATTTCATTTTGTGCGCAAGTAATATTAATGTTGCTAGACGATAAAATTCCAGAGAAGTGATAGAAAAATATTCAAATTATTATTATTGAAGATTTTATTTATGAAATACTTTTATTTATTGATTTTACTATGAAAATATTCCCAAAAAAAAGCATGTCGTTGTTTCTACTCAATATCACTAAATATTTCTAAGAAATCTATTTTCTTCTTGTACTACATTGAAATGGAAACCTTTTAAGTCTGGCACATAATCAATTAAACAAAATAATAGATAGGTATAAACATTTTATTACAAAGCAAACAGTTCATTGTGATAAATTACTAATTCTAAGTTTTCTGAGTAGAGTGTGGCAATTCTCTACATTCCCTGTGCAAATCTCTAAATACATCTGCAATGGCAAAACTCTCGGCGAATTTATTTGCAAAAGTATTTTTCTTGCTGTCACTAAGTCACCTCTAAGGATGTGACACACTGCTGCCTTTGCCCAAACACTGACCGCTATTAAATCCTTCATTTGGTATGGCAATACTGTGACAAGTTCATGAATCATAGGTGGGTGTAAATGTTCAACTGCATCTCCTATTCGGTCCAAATTGATAAGTGCTTCTGCTGCATATATGTGTGCCCAGGCCTTATGGCAGCTTGATGCCTCAGGTTGACTTAGCAACTCATTAGCACTCACCAAAGCCGACAATGGATCCTGTAAATGTAATAACACGTAACTCTGAAGGACAAATGTGGAGTTTTTCAATTCACACCTCTGTTTCCAATTGATTGGAGGGCCAGGTGGTGCCTGAATGATTGGTGCAGTGACATCAGCTGGTGTTTCCTGATTTGGTAGTAATGTTATAGCATTTCTTAAACATAATGCAGCAAACTCTAATGACAATGAAGGAATAGCAAATGATTCTCCCGATGTTGAGTATTTGTCTCCTTTTCCTTCTTTTGACAATAAGATGCGAGTGTGTGGCCCACTGCCAAGTTTCTTAACTGTGTATTGCTGAACTTCCTCACTGCAACATTTCTTCACACAACACTCTGCCAAGTGCAGCCAGATCCGAGGATTGTTAGGGTAGTGTCGTGCTGCTTCTACTAAACACTCAAATGCTCCTTCAGAGTTGTTTGCTGCCAGTAATGCCAGGCCCAAGTTATACACATACAGTGGCCTGTCTCTACATGCTATTAGCTTTTCACTGTCTTCACATTCCATGGCCTTGAAGTGCTCCTTTACAGCATGTTGGAAATATTTTGATGCTAAGAAAGGCTTCTTAATTGACAGATATATGACTCCGAGATTGTTGTTGATGGCTGCCCAAATATCTTCTCCCTGAGTTTTCAAATCATAATTATGTTTGATAGTTTTGTACTGACCTAGTGTACTTGCTGCTTCCTTCACATCACCATTGAGATAATGTTGTTGTGCTATGATAAATACATTTTCTATAGAGTCAGGTTTGAGATTTAACTTAACTTTCTGCCCCAATAATAACTGAGCTCTACTGACAAGCCTCTCAAAGAGCTCACTCACTTCATTATTGGATTTCAGTGGATCACCATGTGCCTTTGCTATTTCCAATGTTTTCTCGTAAGTTCTCCTGCACAGAGAAGCTTCAAGCAGCAGTAGAACTATTTGCTGAAATAGCTTGTTGTCTTTGACATTCTTACAAGCGAGTAGTCTCTCTAAGAGGACAGTACATTGGTAGTAGTACCTCGAGTGATACAATAACACAGCGTAGTTGTACAACAAGAATGGTGAACTCAGATCTTTCGTTTCGATGTCCGGGAATACGAGACCTGTTAGCTGTGCGATAGCCTTTTTCAACTTGTCCACATTTTTCATGTCGCTCATCATAAACTCAACCACTGCTTTATTATGCTGCACCCGTTTATTACTCGTACCAACTAAAGTTTCCAATTCATTGAGATGTTGTAATGCTCCTGCGTAATCCTTTTTTACATAACACTCGTTTGCGAGGATCACAGGTTCGTCCTTCGTATTCGCCATTGGTAAATAATTTAATATAATCTGAAATTAATTTAGAGACTATGATTTATATATTTGTTTACGTGAATAGGTAGATTTTTTATATTTCCTTGCGCTGATTATTCGCCAAATATTGACAGCAAGTTGACGTTTCACTTCAACGAAAGCTTGTCGTTGTCAATGTCAAATTCATTTACTTTTTCGTTGTAATAACTAATCTTTTGAGAAAATTGAATGAAAAGTAATTTTTACGAAATAGTATGAAGGTAATATTGACATTATGGAACTCAATGTCTGTATACATTACTCTGTATGTGTTTATTTTGCTGCAGGTAATCATTAGTTTGTATGAGACTATTTGTATTCCAAAATAAGTAAATTAATAACTTATTATATAAAATATGGTCAGACTCGTACTGACCAAGAAACCATTCTTTTTTCTGCACCGTGCTGGAGCACACATCAACCAAAAAGAGCTGATACATGAAATATGGTGTTGGCACAGGGTTGGTCTGTCTGGTAGTAAATTTTAATATTTACCTACAAAATTTAGGTATATATCTTATACATTTGGCCGCTTTGGTGGTAAACGTTACGGTGGAGCATACCTTTCCATAAGCAACCTATTCATCCGGGCCTTGAAAACAACCAGATTCCCTTCGGGGAACACCGATTCTGGCAAATAATTCCACTTCTTATTCAGATTATGAAACTAGAAGCGAACCGCTTAGTGCGGTAAGGTGGGATATCCACCACAAATCGATGGCGTTTTGCCGATAGTATGGTGGGAAGGACTAGGGGGAATCAAGTTTTGTAGCTCTCACGAACATTCTCCAAAATGTATCCAATAAAAAACTGATAAACTCGCAACTTCACGCCACAGGATGCTCAACATCTCACCAGCTAGTTGTGCCTTTGCCTCTATATAGGACTATAGGAGCCAAAGTTGAGAGTGGGCAATTCTTTAAACGTTGCACCACACTAGCGTTTTGTCCTGTGTCGTGGTTTTTTTTTGTGAGGGGAAAATCATCAAATGACTTCTCCCGCCCAGGGCCGGGCAGGAAGGAGTGTCAGACTCTTACTGACTAAAAACCCCCCTGTTCCTTCTCCTGCTCTGTGCCGAGGTCGCGGTGCTTCATTGCGCTTACCCCGCAACCCCGGCTGAACATCAGCCCTATAGGGCCCCGTCTGTGGTGGTCTAATGGCTCTTTGAGGTGCGCGCCGTACGCTCGGGCCTGGTTCTGGTCGGGCGGCGAGCTGCCCTTACTCGCCGACCGCAGGCCCGTGCTTACGGTGGCCGGAGATCGATCACTCATATCACTAATAAAGAACTTCTTCTTTATTAGTGATCGATGACCGGAACGGACAAATTCAGAAAAGTAGGAGCCCGCGAAAATTAACTCCGTTTAACGGAGAACAGTTAATTCCCGACCGTTAATCTGCGTTAAACTTAACAAAGTTGGAGTCATCCCAGTCAGAATCAAAACAAAGATAAGGCTTACTTAGTTTTTGTCATCAAAAATGTATATTTGTTTCTTCAGGGGTTGAGGGTATTGTTTGATTAATTATATGTAACCAGTCAAATGATGAAAAATCTTTAATATTCTTACAAATACACATAAACATGGCAAACTAAAATTCAAGTGTTCATTTTAACCCTATTGGTTAATTTTTTGGAGCCGGTTTGATGGAACACTTTCAACCAAAGCGGTTGTTTTCCTGGTGTATTTGCTCCAAGCACCTTTTTAAAGTGTTTATGAATAAACATAGTGCTTATATTCTCTTTGTTTACGAGCTCCTGTTGACTGGTCATGTCACTGTAATTTTCTTTTTCTTCTATTTAATTGAGTCCATAAATTTTAATGTCAATCGCTATTTGATTGAGGCTCATTGCTGGCCATCAGAAAACGGAAGTAATGGCCTCAGAAAATGCCGTCTGGGTGAAGCAATCTACGCGCGCGAATTTTATCTTACATTAGAATGAAATTGTTGCCCGCTCATTGTGAATAGGGATGATGTAACGCAAATGATATGCTTCTACCATTTTGTAGAACTAATATTGGATTTATTTTTTTATAGTAAGTTACACAATTTGATCTGATCTTTATCTGGACTTCTGAGCAGACCAGAATTAGAATACTTAGTTTGATTTACAAAATAATTTAAAATGAATGATAACTATCGTCTCTCCAGATAGAATCAATAAAGTTTATTAAAATAAAAGAGATTTTTATAAATCAGGGTGAATGTGTCCTTTTATTTTCTTTGTGGATCTTTCAGCTGGTCGCACACATAGATTTTTACCAAAAATTGTAATTTTCTGTTTGCCTAAAAATATTTCAAATACACATTCTCTCTTTGGTATGGTAGTGGTCACATTGTCTTGGGAAACAATTTTAAAAGTGTTTCTTGTATCCATAATGCAAATACCACATTTACCAACATAACTTGGGCATTTTGACCGCACTACATTCAACATGCTTCCATGAAAATCTGCTCTGAACAAGGTTTGAGTAAATGTATCCCAGGATTTGCTAGTTCGATCTGGTATATGTTTGTCCAATTCTAACACATCATTGATGTAGTTCAACCATATTTTATGCAAAGGTAAGATATCATTGTATTTTACACCATTTCTTGGTATTATATAAAATCCTATGGACTTCTTTTCTTGCCTTGTGAGACAGCGTACCCTCTTCTTGTGTGGTTTCTTTTTCTTTTTTGATAAGCTCCTTTTCTTTGCAAGAACGAAGTCTGTTTTCAATTCACTTTCAATTGTCAGCTGTCCGGACTTAGATAGATTGGATTTCAGAAAGCCAACTATTGCATTGGCAGCGTCTTTGTTAAACGTTTCTTCGGCTGACATTTTGATATTGTTTTTAATTAAGTAAACAGTATAAAAATTAGAAAAAAGAAGAATTTTAACAAATCTATGACAAACACAAGCAAAACATTCACACATGTGACAGACAGACACATGTCGATTCGATATTTGACATCTGACATTTGTCTAATCCTGACATTAGGTTAGAGACACATTTGTGTGGCGCGGTGTGTCGTGTCGTTACAGAACATGCTACAAATTCGTTTGTACATGCGACATTCACATCACGCAACACGAAAATGCCACGCAAGTTTTTCTCTAACCAAACAAACAGAATCTATGAAAACAATAGGCTTTTTATGGAATAGGAGGCGAACGAACAGACCGATCATCTGACGGTTAGTGATCTGCGCCGCCCATGGACTTCTGCAGCACTAGAGGAATCAAATGAACCCGCATTTGATCGTGATATTGTCGGTAGTTTAACAAGGAGTACGCTTGGAAATACTGGATATTGACACGCCTTTCATATGGGCTTATCCAAACATTTTTAGTCGGTCAGATTGAGTTTCATATTATGTCAAATTCTATTTTAGATTGACTTGACACTTGACAATTTGACTGTGACAGTAGAAGTTAATATATAAAGGTTATTAGTTGTAAATAATTTTTTAAATAATCTATCTACAATAGTGTCTGTTTTGTCCTTGTCTGGTCCAAGTGTTCTCTTAATAAATGATAAAATAATAGTAATTACATAATTTACGGAATCAATTAAAATCATTGTTATAAAATTCAGTACATAACTAAGTTTCAAAGTTTTAAAACATGTCTAAAGTTTACCGAGTCAATACTGTGAATCTTTTGAGTAAACGAGAAATGCCTATGATAGGCTTTGGCACCTATGCAGTGAGTAACAACTGAGATAATAAAGAAAATGCCAGCCAAAATTCTTCTGATCTAACAAATTTTTTCTTTTGCGATTATTTCAGAGAAAAGCTGAACCTGGCCAGTATAGACAGGCGGTAGAATGGGCCATAGAGATTGGATACCGGCACATAGACACAGCATCTTCTTATAATAATGAAGTAGAAGTGGGCCAAGGAATTAACAATAAAATTAAAGAAGGTCTTGTAACTAGAGATCAACTCTTTGTTACAACTAAGGTATTATTTATAATTTACAATAAATACCCCATTTTCTTTAGGAATCACTACATATATTAATGTAAACACTAGCTCTGTTTATGATATCTGCAATCTCAGCTACTAACAAAATTGGAGCTAGCCAGTTCACCCTACCTATATCATACTTTTATTTTCAGCTTTGGAATGATCGCCATGCTGAAACAGAGGTGGTTGCATCATTGAAGGAGTCACTGGCTAGGTTGAACCTAGACTATGTTGATTTATACCTAGTGCACTGGCCAGTCTCAACAAATGTAAGATTTACCTAAACATAATATGAACTCACACCTATATTACACATTTCCTATGAATTAATGATTTATGAAAAAAAAACCCTTATGTATAGGCAAAAAGAAATTATACTAAATAATAACTATATCTGCAGACTTCTCAGACTTCCTTCACATTCTGTAAGTGGGGATACAAGCATGATGTTTAAGTGCCCCAGTTCTGGACATTATTAAAGAATAAGAAATTATAGACATTTCTTAAAGTCGAAAATATTTTTTTTTTCAATTAGATCTATACAGCCACTTTTGAATGACAAACAAATTTTCAAGATATAGTCAGTCTGTCGGTCACTCCTCTTAGAGCTTCCATAGTCAAATGCAAACTCAAATTTTTTATTTGCATGTCAAAGTAGTATACAGGGGCATAATGGGTTTAATGAAAATAACAGGCACAGTTTAGCAATGTTTTTCAGATGTTTCAAATTTGAGGGCTATCACAATTTATAGAATACATAATTAAATTACATTAACAAGATTAAAAGAAGAGGGTAGAAGTTTCTCTGAATTTTTATAGGATAGCTACACTGTGCCTCTGTATGTAGATAACTCACACAAGACAAACAAGATAATAAAAATTTCTTCAAAAATAATAATTTAATTATATACTTATCAATAATGCGTATTCTTTAGAGTAAAGGTGAAGATACAGAAATAGATTATATGGAGACCTGGAGAGGTATGGAAAAATGTGTGGAGTTGGGATTGACCAAGGGTATTGGGGTATCCAACTTCAATGAAGATCAACTTATAAGATTGTATGAGAATGCTACAATTCCACCTGATGTCAATCAAATTGAGGTGAGTTATAGAGATTTTTTTTGTTGTGTAAACACTCTTTAAGTGGTGGCTATATGCAGGCATATGCATTACAAAGATTATCATCGTCGGATTTCCGAAATTCTTTCACTGATACATAGCTACTGTGACGTAGTAAGTAATCATTAGTCTATAAGAATATAACATTGTATCTTTTAGGTAGAGAGGCATTAATAAACGTAACGTGTAACCAACAACATCTTGTTTGATTCTCCTAAGTCCCGTCCTTACATGGCGACCCTGCCATTTAAGGTTCGGTGTCGGATTCCGGGCTCAGTAAATCGCGCGTAGTGACATGAGGGAAAAAACTATTGTATTGCGTTATTGTTCGGACAAAGTTATAAGTTTGGTGCGTAATTTTGATTCTGACAATGGGAAAACCACAAAGTAAAGAAGTTGTGATTGCGCAAAACGCCGCAGGTGGCGTAAATGCTGCTGATGTTGCCCAACTACATCAAAATCAGTCAGTGACCAATTTTATACTGGGTGCGATGTTGATCATCCTGACTATTGGAGTTTGGTTTGGAGTATACAAGCTGTATAAACGCTGTCACGTAGACTGGATGCGAGCGGAGATAGCCAGGAGTGCTTTTAGGCGTTCTGGCCCAAGGCGTGACCCAAGGAGCAAAGAGTCCAATATCGAGAGCGTTTAGCCTTGAGTAAAACTCGGCTAGACAAAGGCAGACATCGGATAAGAGAGTCTTCATATGTTACGGTAAAAGTGAAAATGTGTGTGTGAAGTGTTTCAAGTGTACGGCATGGACAGAGGTATTTTAGTTAAGATTTAGAATAGGTTTCTTTATGTTGCCCCACTTCATTTATTTTTCATGAGTTAAGGGTTAAATGTCTGATTTAATAGATATTCATACATTAATTAAAAATATTAAAGTCAATTTACTAAAATTAAGTAAAGTTAAAAGAACAAAGAAAGTGTTAGAGCAAAAATATTTAGAAGCGAATGGTTTATATGATAAATATATTACATGTCGTAGTGAATTAGATATAAAGGTGTCTAAAGGTTATGTTAAGCAGGAGGAATTAAAATATATTTTGATTATTTGTGAGGAAATAGAGTCATATTATCAAAGAATTCAGAATTTTTGTTTAGAGAACGAACAAAGCCTAAGTACCGTGAACACCATGACTGAGTTTGACATGAAAACTGCATCTTCTCTTCTACCTGTGATGACAGGAGAGGAGGAATGTACTAAAAAATTAATAGATGCTCTTGAATTTTATAGCCAAAACATTAAGAAAGAGCATGAATCTTTATTAATATCCTTTGTTCTTAAAACTCGCATATCCCGACATGCCAAATTACGTTTGGCATCTAACTATGATACTTCCGCAGATCTTATAAAGGACATGAAAAATAATTTGCTGACGAAGCAGTCTGCCACGGCGCTTCAGTTGGAGCTATTGCAGTCTCGACAAGGGTCCCAAAGCATTGAAGAATTTGGTAAGAAACTTGAGGACTTATTTGTTGAATTGACTATATCTCAAGCGGACGGTAAAGAAGACGCGTATAAAATGTTTAGACCTGTAAATGAAAAACTAGCTATTCAGCGGTTTACAGAAGGCTTGAGAAATGGTCGATTGAGTACCATTTTAACGGCTAGAGATTACTCAGAACTGAAAGATGTTATACGTGCGGCTAAAGATGAGGAACGGGCGCACCAAGGTCACAGCACATCGGCGGAGACAGTCTTTGCGGCTCAGCATCGAGGTAAGTATAATCAATTTTATAGAGGACAAAGCCGAGGACGTGTTTATATTCCGAATCGTAATTATTATAGGTCGACACCGCAACCGCCTCCGAGGAATCAGGTACCTGTTAGGACTTATTACCGAGGGCGCGCAAGAAGTTTTGTTAACAATCCGCGAGGACGTGGACGTAATTACAGTCAGGCTACGAATTCGGGAAACTATAATCGCAATAACAGGCATAATACTTATTTGCTAGATCAGTCGAGAAATGATATTCAAGGCGCGTCGACAAGCAATCAAAATTTAGATTTAGAGTTTTTTCGATCCTAACTTTATTTTAACATGTAACTATAATAACTTTGTAGAATTGTCAATATTCGATTCTAAATATAGAATGTTAGTTGACACGGGAGCCTCTTTGTCAGTGGTGAAATATGAAACGATTAGAGACTGGAATATTCCTCTGCAACCAGAATGCATTACCATTAATGGTATTGGTGGCAAATCGACCACCGACGGTTATGTTTACATACCATTCTCCATATGTGGAAAAGAATTCAAACATAAGTTTTATGTTCTAAAGAATCTACCTTGTATTCAAGACGGTATAATTGGGCAAGAATTTTTAAAGAAGTACAATTGTGTTTTAAATTATGAACATAACACGTTGACAATAAATGAATGCGATAGTTCAGTTACAACCAGTTTAGAATTAGGGAAATTAGGTAAAAACTTATTTATTACAGTACCACCAAGGTGTGAAAAATTTTTCCAAGTTCATTGTTTTGAGAGTGAGGCTTGCGTTGTATTTCCGAGAGAATTATGCGACGGTGTATTTATTGCTGGAAGTATCTGTCAACCCAAGGAGGGAAAGATATTAATACAAATTTTAAATACACGTGAAACAGAAGTTCAACTTAGTTATTTTAAACCTGACATTGATCGTTTATCTTATTATAATATGTGTGCATTCGAAAAGGAAAATTTAAGCGGCGAAAGAGTTAGGAAATTATTATCGTTGATAAAATTACAACACTTGAACAAAGAAGAATCCATAAGTATACAAAACATATGTGCAAAATTTGCTGACGTATTTTACTTACCGGGAGATAAATTAGGCACTTGTAACCTTTACGAACAAGAAATTCAGTTGAAACCCAATTCGGATCCGGTTTATACTAAACAATATCGGTTGCCATTTTCACAGCGTAATGAAATTGAAAATCAGATTCAAAAAATGCTTTCCAATGGTATTATAGAACCCGCAAGTAGTGAGTGGTCTAGTCCAGTGCTACTGGTACCTAAGAAACTAGAGGATAACAAGAAAAGTTGGCGTTTAGTTGTTGATTTTCGGAAATTAAATGACCGCATTATGGATGATAAATTTCCCCTCCCCAACATAACCGATATATTAGATTCACTCTCTGGCGCAATATATTTTTCACAGTTAGATTTAACTCAAGCGTACTATCAGGCAAAATTAAATTCAGACAGTAGAAAGTACACGGCGTTCACAACACCCTCCGGCCAGTATCAGATGACCCGTATGCCGATGGGGTTAAAGACAAGTCCCAGTTCTTTCTCACGTTTAATGACAGTCGCGATGTCAGGACTAAATTATGACAAGTGTTTTATTTATTTAGATAATTTAATTTGTTTTGGAAGAAATTTAGATATACATAATAAGAATTTATTAGACATTTTGGCTAGGCTAAGGAAAGTAAATTTGAAGTTAAATCCGGACAAGTGCGATTTTCTTAGAAAAGAAATATTATATTTAGGCCACGTTGTATCAGCTGATGGTATAAGACCTGATCCAGAAAAGATTAAAGTTTTAAATAACTATCCAGTTCCTAAAAACGCTGATGAACTAAAACGTTTCGTAGCATTTTCTAATTACTACAGGAAGTTTATTCCGAATTTTGCCGAAATTTGCATACCATTAAACAATTTATGTCGTAAAAACGTAACTTATAATTGGGATGAAAACTGCCAGAAATCATTTTCTATGTTAAAAAACTGTTTAGTAAAACCTCCGGTATTACAATATCCTTTGTTTGATGACAGTAATACTTTTATTCTTCAAACCGATGCGTCAGGGTACGCTATAGGTTCAGTTTTGTGTAATGCTGATCGTAGGCCAATTGCTTACGCCAGCCGAAGTTTAAACAAGGCCGAGTGCAGATATCCTACAATTGAAAAAGAATTGTTAGCGATAGTATGGTCCGTCAAATATTTTAGGCCTTATCTCTATGGAAGACAATTTATTATTGAAACGGATCATAGGCCTTTAGTATACTTGTATAACTTGACAGATCCTTCCAGTAGATTATTAAAATTTCGGTTATTACTAGAGGAGTACGATTACAAAGTGGTTTATGTGAAAGGGCGTGATAATGTAGCTGCAGATGCATTGTCGCGCATAGAAGTGACTGGTGAAGAATTACGGGCGATGAACGAACACGTTGTGTCTGTACTTACTAGAGCGAAGAGACGGGAGCTTGAGAAAAATTCTGATAATCATACTTCGGTGGCTAATATTCCTAAAAACGATTGGACTGATCACCCAAGAGTTGTAGAAATGTTAAAACTACCGAAGGATTACACGGAATTGGTATTTGTGAATGAGAAAGAATGGATGAAAGTTAAAAAATATGTGTCTTTAAAGAATGGTGATTATGCGTATTCGGCGTCAGATCGCACCATATATGTAAAACTATTTACTCAATCACAGCGTACACGAGCGGTCTCTGTGAGAGAAATGGAATTATTTTGTGCTGATTTAAAAATAGATACTTTATATATAATTAAAGATGAAAATAACGTAAGAATAATAAAAGAGCTAGCTCAATATATAAATAAATTGCCTAAGTGGTCCGGACCCCGCTTATGCGTAGTAAAAGGCGTTAAAAAGATTGTCGACGACGATACAAAGAGAGTAATTTTGAACGATTATCATATTCTTCCTACTAGTGGACATGCAGGGATAAGACGTATGTTAAACAATATTCGTAAAAAATATTTTTGGAGTGGATTAGAGCGTGATGTTACTAATTTTGTAATGAAATGTAATAAATGTCAACGCTATAAATATTTAAATACAGTAAAAGAGCCTATGGTTATAACGGATTGTGGAAATTCAGCTTTCGATAAAGTATATATGGATCTAGTAGGTCCTTTACCACGAGATAACAACTATAACTACATTTTAACACTACAGTGTGACCTCACCAAATATGTCGAGGCGTATCCGATAGCGGGTAAGGATGCGCGTA